AGAAAAGCCACAGAAGACATGGAAATAGCAGGGAGTGAGCAGGTGGGAGATGGTGGCGCTTCAGCTTAAATGGCTTTCTCAAAGCCCCCTGGTCAGTGCCAGAGTGCATAGTCTGGGCTGTATTTCCTGGCCTGGTGCTCTTTCTACTGTCTAGAATGCAATGTCAGACCTCAGCAGGGTAAGGTGGGCATTCCTATAGGTACAAAGCCTGGTTGGCACAGGGAGCCAGAGCCCAAAAGACTAAGGACATGCATGCAGGAGAGTCAGCCCCCAAGTGAGGAGGAGAGCCCACACAGGCAGGGGAGGGCATCTTTGTTGGTGGCGGAGCTTGGACTGGAGAAAAAGGATTAGTTAGGTCCTAGAAGCCCATTATATACACAAGCACATCGATGACTGTGGGCGCCAACATCCATCCTCACTGTCGGACAAGGGGCTGCAAACTGAAGATGGGTGCACACAGGGTTTGGGTGTGCTGGCACAGACCCATGTCATGTGTGTGTGAGAAATATTAAATGTTAGCCTTGTCGGGCAAACACTATAAACCTTTGTTTATGACAAGGAATTCAAATTGTTTGATCTCCCCCACATAAAGGTGAACCCTTTATGGAAATGTTTGCATCCCCCTGACCCAGTTAGACTTTCCTTTCCACAAAGGACCTGCTGTGTCCTTGGAATTTAAGTGACTTAAATGGCCCACCCCTTCCCACTCTCCTTTATTTCCTTTTACAACTAGCCAATTGCAGAAGACTGAAGTCAGACCCCAGCCAATGAGGAAAAGACACAATCACCACCTGCGCTAGAATAAAAAATGAGTGAACTTCTTGTGGCTGTGGGCTTGCTCGCCAGGTTTGGATCTTGGACACCCTTTTTATAAAAAGGATTGCCTCGCTGGCTACTTTCGCCTTGTCCATAATTTCCTTCTGCGTGATGCTGAGATTGTTTCTAACATAGATGTCGTGTGTAGACACACACAACACAGTATTGTGTTTACACATCCATTTCTAACTCTCTACTCTGATCAGTCCTGGCAGAGGCCAGACCCCTACAGCCGTAAGTCTAGGAACAGCTTTTAGTGTCCAGATTCGTTTTCTATGAAGAAATGAAAGGGTGGGGCATCTGGGAGATAATGTGTCAGAAAGCAGGAACTCAAAAAAAAAAAAATTGGAGATGTTTCAAAGAGCAAGGAGATGCAAAGCTGGCCTGAGTGAGAGCAGCCACTGACCAAATCAGGTGTGGGCCTGAGTGAGAGCAGCCACTGACCAAATCAGGTGTGGGCCTGAGTGAGAGCAGCCACTGACCAAATCAGGTGTGGGCCTGAGTGAGAGCAGCCACTGACCAAATCAGGTGTGGGTAAGACGTGAATAACAGTAACAACTGTGGTGGGTTAAAACCTGGTGACTAAAACGGGGAAACAGGAATCACAATAAGTGGCTATAAATGAATGAATACATCAAGGGTTTGGTAAAGACTGGGATGTTTATATGACTCCAAAGTACCACTTTATAAACCAAACTAGAATCACAGTGATTCATGATAGAGAAGCGTGGCCAGCCCCACTGTAGTAAAGGTATGACAGTGAGCATTTGGGAACACATGTCCTACTTGTTGCAAGGAGGGGCTGCCTGATTCTAGACGTGCAAATAAACCCAATTAAGATCGTTAAACTTAGGCAGAGCTGGGCTGCATAGCATCCAGACACTGTAGCTGAGGATGGTCTTGAACTTCTACCTTCCTGCCTCTACTTTAGACTTCCGTATTTTCCATCTAATACCTTCTGATCACTGTTGCCTATGAGTAAGCATCAGTAATAGAAAAGTTGTGTCAGTTTATCAGATGCGTTGGGAACACACTATCATTTTGTGACATGCCTGTCTCAAATCCATACCTCAATACAATCACAAGGGAACAGCAGACAAATACAACTGAGGGGTGCTTTATAAAATGACTGGCAAGGCTGAAGAGTTGGCTCAACAGTTAAGAGCACAGACTGCTCTTCCAGAGGTCCTATGTTCAATTCCCAGCACCCACATGGCAGCTCACAGCTGTGTGTACCTCTAATTCCTAGGGATCTGGCACCCTCTTCTTGATTTCTCAGGTACTAGGAACAGATGTGGTGTACAAACAGACATGCAGGTGAAACACCCATATGCATAAAATAATACAACTTTTTAAATTGGCCAATCATCTCTGATGTTGTGGGATAATCTTTTTGTATACTGTAAAGATGTGTCTCTGCCTAAGGTGCCTTCTGATTGGTTTAATAAAAAACTGAATGGCCAATAGCTAGGCAGGAGAAAATAGGCGGGACTTCTAGGGAGAGAACTCTGGGAAGAAGAGAAGCAAAGATGCCAGTGAATCACTGAAGAAGTCTGACGTAGGGTACAGAGGAGAGGTACCCAAGTCACATGGCAGAATGCAGGTTAACAAAAACAGGTTACGTTAGAAGAGCTAAGGCCAAGCTTTCATAATTAATAAGTCTCCATGTTGTTATTTGCAGGCTGGTGGTCCTGATGAGACAATACAACTCCACTCAGAAAGTATCAAGGTCAAAAAAAGCTGAGGAAAAGCAGAGAAACGTTTCAAAGTGAAGATTTAGCATAAGGCAACAAGAGAGAAAATGTGTCTGAATTGTGACTCGTGGTGCTGCAAACACATTGTTGAAGAAGCCTGAATGGGATCTTCTTAGAAGGTGAAGTGCTTTATGGGAAATGCACACTAGAGAGCTCCAGACACAGGGACCCTCTGCATTACAGTAAGCAGTATGATCGCATGGCTTGGGTGGGCTCTTATATTACACCAACAAGCTAGGTATGTGCTTTACAGTTGAGCTATAGTACTAGCCTGAAAAATGTTATTCAAAATGATGGCTATTAAGATGTCTATGGTGCCTAAAACACTGTAGATGCTCAAGAATGTAAACTCCTCTCAGAATGCTGATCTCCTATAGCAATCCACAGGCAAGTGTCTGCCAACATCGGCTCTCACTTTAATGGTAGTGGGTTCCTCTGTTTCTGAACTTTGACCCCAGGGAACAAGGGTAGCTTCTACATTTCACCTGGATTAACAAAATTCTGTCTTCTAGGAATTGGCAAAGGAAATGAGATGCTAATCCACTTCTGCTTCTCAATTTGAATCTAGAGGACATGCAGATTTTTTTTAATTTTTTATTTTTATTTTGCAATACAATTCAGTTCTACATATCAGCCACGGATTCCCTTGTTCTCCCCCCTCCGGCCCCCCTCACCTTCTCCCCAGCCCACCCCCCATTCCCACCTCCTCCAGGGCAAAGCCTCCCCCGCGGACTGAGATCAACCTGGTAGACTCAGTCCAGGTAGGTCCAGTCCCCTCCTCCCAGGCCGAGCCAAGCAATCCTGCATAGGCCCCAGGTTTCAAACAGCCAACTCATTCAATGAGCACAGGACCTGGTCCCACTGCCTGGATGCCTCCCAAACAGATCAAGCCAATCAACTGTCTCACCCATTCGGAGGGCCTGATCCAGTTGGTGACCCCTCAGCCATTGGTTCATAGTTCGTGTGTTTCCATTCGTTTGGCTATTTGTCCCTATGCTTTATCCAACCTTGGTCTCAACAATTCTCGCTCATATAAACCCTCCTCATTCTCGATAATTGGACTCCCAGAGATCCACCCGGGGCCTAGCCATGGATCTCTGCTCTGCATCCAGATCCCTCAGTAGTTGGATGGGGTTTCTAGCACGACAATTAGGGTGTTGAGGACATGCAGATTTAACTAGATCTGATATCTGAGGGGAACTCAGCAAAGGATGTTAAAATTTAGTCTGCAGGGCCGGGCGGGGTGGTGGCGCACGGCTTTAATCCCAGCACTCGGGAGGCAGAGCCAGGTGGATCTCTGTGAGTTTGAGGCCAGCCTGGTCTACAGCACGAGATCCAGGACAGGCACTAAAACTACACAGAGAAACCCTGTCTCAAAAACACCAAAAAGCCGGGCGGTAGTGGCGCACGCCTTTAATCCCAGCACTCAGGAGGCAGAGCCAGGCGGATCTCTGTGAGTTCGAGGCCAGCCTGGGCTACCAAGTGAGTTCCAGGAGAGGCGCAAAGCTACACAGAGAAACCCTGTCTCGAAAAACCAAAAAAAAAAAAAACAAAACAAAAACAAACAAAAAAAAAACCAACAACAACAACAAAAATTTAGTCTGCAGGTAGGCAAACTGAAGTAGATACCTACAGAGGGGCAGAGACAAGAAAGAAGGCTGGAAGTAGCTGAGTTGATAGGGTATTGGCCTAGCATGCATGAAGCCCTGGGTTCGATCCCCCACAACACATGGGAATGTAGTGTTGGCCTGAAATCTCAGCACTGAAGGGTGGTGGAGGCAGGAGGATTAGAATTTCAAAGTCAGCCCTTAAGCTACCTAGTGAGTTTGAAGACAGCCTGAGTTTCATAAAGGACTCTTAGAAAGAGAGGAGAGAGAGCCTAGGAGAAAACCCAGAGCACAGGCAATTTGCTACAGCAGTCGGCCCTTTAACCCCTTCCATCACTCCAACAGTCTAATCCATTTCTTCCCTTCGCCCAGGCCAACTTGAGCCGATTTTTTTTTTTTTTTTGTAATATACAGTGTTTCTTTGTATAGCCCTGCCTGTCCTGGAACTAGCCCCCATAGACCAGGCTGACCTCGAACTTACAGAGATCTGCCTGCCTCTGCCTCCCGAGTGCTAGGATTAAAGGTGTGCGCCACCACCACCCAGCTGTTTTTTTTTTTTTTGAGACAAAGTCTCTCTTATGTAGAGTCCTAGCTGTCCTGGAACTTCCTGTATAGACTAGGGTGGCCTCCTGCCTCTGCCTCCCCAGGGCTAGGATTAAAGGTGAATGCCACCAAGCCCAGCTTGAGTGGATTTTTGTCAGCTGTGGCCATTGCCTTCCCCCTCCTTTTGCCAGACCTCATACCGAAAAGGGAGTCTTGCCCCTGTCAGGAATCAATACAGAACTTCAACAGGCTCCAGGGTTCTAAAGTCAGCCCCACTCACCAAGGCTGGCCTCAGCCAGGAGCAGGTAAGCAGGCACCAGCTCTACTGAGCTCAGGCCGTGCACACTCATGCGGAACCGAAGGGAATGCAGAGCCGCAGGGACAGCGTCTTCATGTTTTCCTTCAAAAAGATATTTCTGGGCGACGGTGTAGCAGAATTCAATCAAGTGCTTCTGTGGAAGGTGGGAATAGACACTGTGAGACAGTCTCGAGGAAAAGGCACGGGTGGAAACACCCACAGGTAATGTCAACGCCTGGCTGAAGGCACTTGGTGAGCCTGCCTGTATTAGGTGCCATGAGATTCAGGGCTGGGGTGGATAAAAATGCAAACTTGGGGCCCTAAGTCCAAGGTCCAGGAAAAGGTATCTCATTTCAGTTCAGAATTTGGCAGACAGGTGGCTCTAGATGAACAGTATACAGCATTCCTGTAGGTCTTGTTCGCAGCATCCTTTTCCATCATTGCTTTTTATTTCTTTATTTTTAAAGACAGAGTCTTATGTAGTCCAGGACAGCCTCAAACTCACTATGTGGGTGAACATATGCCGCTAGTCAGTTTTATGTGGTACCAAAGCTTGAATCTAGGGTTTGGTACCTGCTAGTCAAGCCCCTACCAACTGATGTACATCACTGGCCTTATCCTTCCAGTTCTAATAAAACTTTAATTTAGCAAAGCTATAGATGACACAGGACAATCTAAAACTTTCTATCTACAGAGACGGTAAGCACTGGAGGACTGAGACCACTGCTTCACAATCTTCTAGACACAACAGGGACACGGCACCCACAAACTCTCAACAACATGGTTGTTCATGCAAGACCAGAGCAGCCATGGAGGGGGACATTTAATAAGAGCTAGAGGTGGTCAGTGGCTGCTGAGGGACAATCAGTTTTCTTCAGGGATGAGCCATCTGAAGGCTTCCCAATCCTAAGCGGTCAGGTCCCCAATCATGTACATACAGGCAACACTACAGGATACACACACACACACACACACACACACACACACACACACACACCCCATTACAGAAGAGGGGTAGGGGAACACAGGAGGCGTTGGAAGAGAACAGGGAGGGGTAGAAAGGGTGCAAAGTGTAGCCATGTATGAAATTCTGAAGAAATTAAAATTTAAATTCAAAAAGTAAAACTTTCTGTCTTTATATTTGAGTTAATTTCAAGAAAACATCTCTTTTTCCTTCTGAAATTATCCTGCCTGGCTAATATAAAAACAACTTTCAAGTCTTCATTGTTCTCAGATGATCGTAGTTTTGTAACACTAAAATTGATGAGTCTGGTGTTTATAGATTTGTGGTTTCAGGAGGCTAATTTGGGGGGACTGGGGAGATAGCTCAGTGGGTAAAATGCCTGTTGTGCAAGCATGAGGACCTGAGTCCAGGTCCTTAGCACCTACATAAAAACATCACGGTATTCACGATAACCACAGACTGGAAAGAGGGACCCCAGGGTCTCACTAACCAGCCAGTCTAGCCAAAAGGGCGAGCTCCAGGCTCAGTGAGAGACCTTGTCTCAAAATACAAGGTGGGGAGCAGCAGAGAAAGACACCCCAAGTCAACCTCTGGTCTCCACACCTGCAAGCATACCTGCATACACATGTGTGCACATGCATACAAAGGGGGTTAATCTTCAAAATACAATAATTGATATTCTTTTTCTTTTTTTCTTTTGTTTTTTTTTTTGTTTGTTTATTTTGTTTTTCAAGAAATGGTTTCTCTGTGTAGCCCTGGCTGTCCTCAAACTCACAGAAATCCACCTGCCTCTGCCTCCCAAGTACTGGGACTAAAGGTATGCACCACCACTGCCCGGCTAATAATTGATATTCTTAATTGGGTGGTAGTAGCACACACCTTTAATCCCAGCACTTGGGAGGCAGAGGCACGTGGATCTCTGAGTTCGAGGCCAGCCTGGTCTACAGAGTGAGTTCCAGGACAGCCAGGGCTACACAGAGAAACCCTGTCTCAAAGAACAAAAAAAATTTTAAATAATAATGATAATAATTTATGTTCCTTTAATGCCATAATGTAAATTAGTTTTTATAGTCTCCTTTATACCCTGATATATTAATATCATTTTTATATCCTCTTATACCAGTGGTCCCTAATGCTGTAACCCTTTAATACAGTTCCTCATGTTGTGATGACCCCCAACCATAAAATTATTTTCATTGCTACTTCATACCTGTAATTTTGCTACTGTTATGAATCATAACGTAAACATTGTTTTCAAAAGGTCATGACCCACAGGTTGAGAAACAATGTGTTATACACTAAAGCTCTTATCATAGTACTTGGCACATGGATTCTATGGACTGAACCATGGCCCCCCGAAAAGTCATGTGCTAGAGCTCTAAATCCTTTTCCCTCAGGATACGATGAAAAGTTTCTGCGCTCCATAGGTCTCTCTGCCAACGCAGCAATCCAAATCAGATCAAATCAGACCGAATTAGAAAGTCACGGGTTAATGAGCAAAGGGCTCCCGGGTGATTTTTCGGCCCCCCAGAGAGGAGACAGGGAAAGGAGACCAAAGACCACGTGTCTGTTTTCTGGGGTGCAGTTCAAATACTCTGTGGGAGTGGTCTTGAGCATCTCTGGGGGAGGAGCTGTGTTTGGAGGGGCTTTCTGAGGGGCATGGTCTGGGCAGAGAGGTGGGGCTTCCACCAGAACATTCCAGATTCTTTGGGTATATGGATGCCAGGGTGCCAGGGGCTTAGGTAAAGCTCCCACTAGAACAGATTGTATTTGGATAAAATGCTCTCCAAAGAGGTGGTTCAGTTCAAAGGGATCCACTCACATAGACTGTAAATAATTTAACCTAGTGGGCATCTTAGTTACATTTTGTGTGTGTGTGTGGGGGGGGGGGTTATGTGTCCATGTGTGCCACACGGAGAGGTCAGAGGACAACTTCTGGGAGTCAGGTCTCTCCTTTGACGTTGTGGGTTCTGGGGATCGAACTCACGTTGTCAGGCTCAGCCACCCTTCCCCACTAAGCCATGTTACCAGCATTGACTGGTGTCTTTATAAGAAAAATTGGACAGGCAAAGAAACACCAGCGTGTTGTAGAATATTATTTTAAGGTGTGTTACTTTTGTTTATGCTCTGGAACATTTGATGAATGATGCAAAGATGTGTTTGAGTAAATAAAATTCACCTGCGGTCAGGAGGCTGCGTCAGCAACGAGCTGACAGGAAGTGGTAGGGAGGAGCCAGGTGAGAAAGGGTTGATAAGGAGGGCAAAGAGAAGCACAGGGGCTTCTGTGAGCAAGGAGAGGAGGTAAGCTACTTGCTATTCAGCCTCTGAAGAGCAGAACTGCACCTTAACCTTTGAACCTTGAGTCCTTTAGAGGGACAAAGATTTAGTTAAGTTCCTTTTGTAGCTTTGAAAGAGTTGGTGCTTGAGGGAACAGAATTCCTTCCGGCTATGGCCCTTGAGGCCTAACCGCTGGCTGGTAGCGGCTGAGTTGGTGATTCAGACAGCTGTGGCTTAAAAGGCAGCAACAATTTAAAAACAACAACAACAACAACAACGTGATGTGTGCACACAGGACCAGATGAAGACTCAGCCGGAAGGCAACCACCCATCAGCCAGGAAGAGAGATCTGGGGCTTGAGGGATGGCTCAGTCAGTAAAGTGACTCAGAAGCATGAGGACCTGAGTTCAACACCCAGAGAAACCAAGGAAAAAGCTAGGCATGGCGTGCACACTTGTGCTCCCAGCACTGAGGAGACAGCCATAGGCTGGGGCTCACTGGCCAGCTAGGCTAACCTCCTTGGTGAAACCCAGCCCAGTGAGAAACCCTGCCTCAAAAGACCAAAACCAAAAACCAAGGTAAACGGCTTCTGAAGACGGACACCTAACGTTGTCCTGTGGCATCCAAAGGCAATTCAAACACACATGTACACCCAAAGATACACAGGGTGTGGGCAGAAGACTGGGAGGGTTGGGGGAGGATGGTGAGGGGGAGGAAAAGGTGGGAAAGGCAGGGAATGGGAGAAGGTACAAACCTTGACTTGGACTTTCAACCTCCAGCAGTGTTGAGAAAATGAACACTTGTATGTACCACTCTATCTGTGGTATCTTGTTATGGCCACTCAAGCAAACCAGCACAATGGGTATTCAGTGAAAACGTGGGAAATGACCCAGTGAGCGGGACTGTGATCGGCAACATAAAGACCAAGGCCCCACCCTCACTGTCACCGGCTGTAGGACTTGCCTGTCGCTTCTGCAGCTGCTGCAGGCCATGCTGCCTTTCTTCCTCTGAGTTATAGAAGGGCATGGTGGTACGCAGAGGAATTAGCAGCTGGCATATCTTCTCGTGGATGCTGCCCCAATCAGCCTTCTGATGCACAGGCCCACTGACAACAAAAACACACTGTGTTATCTTGATCTTTATCTCCTCCAGCCTAGCTCTAAAGGCCAGAAGAGTCAGCCCAACCAAACCAGGCAGGGGCCTGAAGCCCTTTCTGAGATGGAATTCTATCTTCTCTCATGTCTTTATTTGTATTAACACTGCATTGTCAGGGAGGAGGGTGGTGGAGGCTGGAGAGATGGCTCAGCAGTTAAGAGCACTGGCTGTTCTTCCAGAGGTCCTGAGTTCAATTCCCAGCAACCACATGATGGCTCACAACCATCTGTAAAAGGACCTGGCACCCTCTTCTGGCCTGCAGGCATACATGCAGACAGAACACTGTATACATAGTAAATAAATAAATCTTTAAAAAAAAAAAAAACTGCATTGGGATCCATAGCTACCAGAAAAATGCAGATTAAAACTACCTTGAGATTCCAGTCAGAATGGTTATCAAGAAAATAAATGTTCTGAGTGTGTTGGCACATGCCTTTAATCCCAGCATTCACGAGACAGAAGCAGGCCAATCTCTGTGACTTTGAGGCCAGCCTGGTCTACATAGAGAGTTCCAGACCAACCAGTATACACAGTGAGACCCTGTCTTTAAAAAAGAGAAAGAGGCCGGGTGGTGGTGGCGCACGCCTTTAATCCCAGCACTCGGGAGGCAGAGCCAGGCGGATCTCTGTGAGTTCGAGGCCAGCCTGGGCTACCAAGTGAGTCCCAGGAAAGGCGCAAAGCTACACAGAGAAACCCTGTCTCGAAAAAAAACAAAAAACAAAAAAAAAAAAGAGAAAGAAAAAAATCAAAACTAAAAAACAAATGACAACAAATAATGGAAATATGTAGGGAGAGATGAACCCAGTGGGAATACAGACTAGTGCAGCCAGCATGGAGGTTTCTCAAAAAAATAAAAATAGGAGACTGGAGAGGTCATGGTTCAGTGGTCTAGAGTACTTGCTCTTGCAGAGGACCTGGGTTTGATTCCCAATACCCACATGGTGACTCACGATAATTCATAAGTGTAGTTCCAAGTGATCCAACCCCTTCTCCTGACCTCTGAGAGCACTAGGCACACATGTGGGGCACAGACAAACATGCAGGCAAAACATTCCTACACATAAAATGCATGAATCTAAAACAATTTAGTCTAAAAATAGTACTACCATAGGGCCAAGCTATATCACTCCTGACGTGACTAAGTCCTTCACCAGAGAGGTTCTTGGACATCCATGTTTACTGCTGCACCATCTACAACAGCCAGGAAATGGAACCAGCCTAGATGGTCATCGATAGACAAATGAATAAAGAAAATGTAGTATGTCTACACAGTGGAATTTTGTTTAGCTGTAAAGAAAAATGAAATTATGACATTCTAAGGAAAATGGTTGGAACTGGAGGCCATTATTTTAGTGAAATAAGTCAGACCTAGGAAGACAAATAGTGCATATTTTCTCATCCATGTAGTGCAGGTTTACATTCACACACACACACACACATCACAGTAGAGCAGGGAGTATGGAAGGAGAGAAAGAAGTCTACATGGAGGGCAGGACAACAGAGTGATGGAAATGCATATCATGAAGCAGAAGGAACTGTTAGGGGAGGGAAGAGACCAGCGGGAAGGGGAAGGGGAAGGGGATAGAGGAGGGCAGTGGGTGATGTGAAAAAGAACAAAGTGTGTGTGTGTGTGTGTGTGTGTGTGTGTGTGTGTGTGTGAGAGAGAGAGAGAGAGAGAGAGAGAGAGAGAGAGAGAGAGAGAGAGAGAGAGAGAGAACTGTTGGTTGGGTTTGGGAAGGGGCCGTGTGAAGGGATCTTTTCTGCAGACACCTGTTCACACTGGAGGTCACATATGCATGCTGTGGCTCTTGTGTTAAGCACAACAAACACATCCGGGTGTGGTAGCCCAGGCCTTTAATCCTAGGCAGAGGCAGGCAGCTTTAATCCCAACACTCAGAAGACAGAGGCAGGCAGATCTCTGAGTTCAAGACCAGCCTGGTCTACACAGTGATTTCCAGGACAGCCAGGGGTTACATAGTGAGACCCTGCCTCAATAAAGAAAGAAAAGGAAAGGAAGAGAAAAGAGAAAAGAAAGAAAGAAAATTGTCTGGAAGAAATTAAAAAAAAAAAAAAGGAAGAAACCCAGAAGATGGGAGAAAATACTGGCAAATCATATATCTGACAAATGCCTTGTATCCAAAATATATTCAGAACTCCTAAAAAGTTAGAAGATCCAGTTCTTTTTGAAAGGAAGGAAGGATTTAAATAAGCCTTCCCAAAGAAGATATAAAAACGGCTAACTAGTACAGGAAAAGATGCATGTTAGTTACTGGGGAAATACAAAGCCAGAGCACCTTGAGAAGCCCTGTCAAATCCTCTAGAACAGCTGCGAACACAGACATAAACAAGAGTCAGCAGAGTCAGCACAGCAGGATGTGAGGGCAAGAGGATCGCCATGATTGAAGGCCAACCTGAACTACATAGTGAGTTCCAGGCCTGTCTGGGCTACAGAGTGAGACCCGTCAAACAAGCGACAAAAATGCACGTACAACCAAGTCTGTAAACCAAACTGTCACTATCCTTTCTAAAGACATTGGCTTTGGGGCACAGCGTAAAGTACCTTCTTACTCTCTCCTTTAACATGATCGTAACAGTGTTTTATTTTCAAAGAGTCAAAGTTACATTCAAGACCTTCTCCTACATCACAGCAACAAGAGGACATTGCAGTGCAGTCTGAACGCCCACTCCCATCCCCCAGCAGGCCTGAAGACAATGCTAATGGTGCTACTGGTGAAATTGACTACAGAAAAACATGTTTATACAGTCTTTCTTAGACCCATCTCACAGACCATTCCTTTCCCTTCCCCAAGAAAAAGCTCCTCAGATCCATCAACTTCAGTGTTCAGATATCCCCAAACAACTCTAGAACAATGTAAGGTTGTGTTTATTGGTTTTTTTTTTTTGGGGGGGGGGGGGGTTGGTTTGTTTGGTTTTTTGTTTGTTTGTTTTTCAAGACAGGATTTCTCTGTGTAGCTTTGTGCCTTTCCTGGAACTCACTCTGTAGTCCAGGCTGGCCTCGAACTCACAGAGATCCGCCTGGCTCTGCCTCCCAAGTGCTGGGATTAAAGGCATGCACCATCACCGCCCGGCTTTGTTTTGCTTTTCAAGACAGGGTTTCAGTTTAGATGCAAGATTGTAAAACATCAGTAGGGAACTTCTGCCCTCCAGGGTTCTCCCATTGTGCTGTAAACCTGTATTTAAGACCTCTTCCCTCCTTCAATAAACAGCATTTGGCATTTTTTAAAAAAAAAAGAAAAGAAAAACCAAACCAAAAAAAAAAAAAAAGGGTTTCTCTGTGTGTCTCTGACTGTCGTGGAACTCACAATATAGATCAGGCTGGCCTTGAACTCATAGAGATCTGCCTGTCTCTACCTTCTGAGTGTTGAGATTAAAGTCAACAATTTTTTTTCCTTTTGTTTTTCAAGACAGGGTTTCGCTGTGTAGCCCTTGCTGTCCTAGAACTGTCTCTGTAGACACAGGCTGGCCTTGAACTCACAGAGATCCGCCTGCCTCTCCTTCCCAAGTGCTGGGATTACAGGTGTACACCACCACTGCCTGCAAAGGTGTCAACTTTAATGAATGGAAGTTCTAGAGCACAGAACTCAGCGTGAGGACTTTCTAATAAAGCTTTTCTGATGTTAAAACTGCTTCCTTTTGTAACATGAAAAGGTGTGCTCCACGCTGAATGAAGAGAATTTCTTGCAGAAATCCAAGCCAGGGGGCATGAAAGCCAGTTCTACTGACTGTCAGCACACATGCTGCTCTTTCTTTTTGTTTATTTATTTTTTGGTCTTTTTCAAGACAGGATTTCTGTTTGTAGCTTTGGAGCCTGTCCTAGAACTCACTCTGCAGACCAGACTAGCCTTGAACTCACAGAGATCCACCTGCTCTGCCTCCCAAGTGCTAATATTTCTTAAAAAGTAAGTCATCTTAACTAACTGGGACTTTTCAAGGGGGCAGTGGCTCTTTATGGTTTCCTGGGATAGAGAGCCCTGTCTCCTCCCAGACACCAGCAGTAATGGGTCAGGGCAAGAGTGTCTCTGTCTCTGTCTGTCTGTCCATACACCTGCCCCCTGTGTGTGTGTGTGTGTGTGTGTGTGTGTGTGTGTGTGTGTGTGTGTGTGTGTGTGCTGTGCTTTCTCTTGTTCACTAGGCCCTTGCCAGTGAAAAGCTTCCAGCTCATGGGACAGCCTCTCTGGCACTAATATCTGCTGGTATTGAACCTCAGTGATCATGTACTTCATGGTCAGAAAGCAGTGACCTCCATCAGTTAGGGACACTGTGACCTGGGAAGAATGGCCAGTCTTGAAGGTGAGTACCAGCCCAATCACAGGCTCACAGTTTTCAGTGCCTTGTGGGAAATGGAGTAGCGGTTGTGTCTGACAGTGGCTTCTGCTACAGAAGCAGTGTGGTACTCCTCAAACCGCTTCCTTTTCACAGCTTCCAGATGTGGGTCATGAAAGCGTGGCCAGTGCATTGCGTCTTCCATTCTTTACCATGCTGTGGAGTTTCCTGGTGACTGACTGGGTTTCCAAACACTAGGCTTGTTTTTGTCGCTGGAACAGCGTTGATAAGCGCAGTTTCTTCAACACCTAGCCTGTATTGCTCCTCCTATGTGAGCTTGGCCACAGGCTTGAGATGATTGTGTCAACTGGAGGAACCCTGAATTCAGGACCACAGTGACTGCATCTCACCTGGATCAGCCTGGAAGCCACCACACAGCTCTGAACACTTACATGGCCAGGCTGGACTGCTCTCACAGCCTTCGTCACTGTCACCTTCTTGACAGTGTTCTCTACAGCAGTTGTTGTTGTTTAGTTGGGTGTGGTGGTGCATGCCTTTAATCCCAGAGGTAGAAGGATCTCTGAGTCTGAAGACAGCCTGGTCTACATATTGAGTTCTGGGACAGCCTGGGCTACAAAGAGAGATCTTGTCTCAGAAAACAAACAATTAAATTTTGATGATGTCTAACTATATTCACTTTGGTTCCTTCTGATGTCCAATCTAAAACCACACAGATTTACAATCATCTTCCCTTCTAAACCTTCTGTAGTTTTATAGCTAACATTGAAGTCCTTGGAATATGATTATTTTTCACACAAGATAGAAGGTGCAGGTCCGAGTCCATCCTACTACATGTGGGTATCTACTTCACTCGGCACCATTTGCTAAAGGTGCTGTCCTCAATGAATGTTTGAAAATCAACTGATCATAGGTGTACATACAGGCTTACTTATAGACTCTCAATTCTGTACATACTGGAGCATTATAGGAAGTGTGGGAACTGGAAATGTTGTATTTCCATATGAATTTTAGGATCAGCATGTCTAAGTTGGAATTTCACATGGATTGCATGAATCTACAGAATAATTTGGGGAATGTGGCTATCTTAATAATAAGTATTTCAATTTCTTTCAACAATGTTTTGTTAGAACGTAGGTCTGATCCTATAGTGTGAATCAGGCCACACCTCCCTGAAGCTCTCGCTGGGGTAGAATTAAACAGTCTGTGCTCCTTGTGTTTCTTGTCAAATACACCATAGTAAGCCCAGGCAACCCTAGAGTTTACATCGACCCTCAGCCTCCCAAGTGCCGGAATGACAGGCATGAACCACCACACCCAGCTTCCCACTGCTTTTTTTCCTGTTTTGGTTTGTTTGTTTTTTGTTTTTTGTTTCTGAGACAGGGTTTCTCCAGCTGGCTTTGAACTCTGAGATCCACCTGCCTCTGTTCCTGAGTGCTGAGATTAAAGGTGTGCACCACCACCACCACCACCACCACCACCACCACCACCACCACCAGGTCCACCACCACCACCACCATCACCACCACCACCACCACCACCACCACCACCACCGCACTGACCTCCTGCTTTTTATTATTAAAATACCACTTGACATTTTCTCCCCGCTGGCCAGTGAAGACATTTAAAGTTGTATCACATGCATTCAAATTAAAGGAAAAATATTGCAAATTACTCTTATGCTATGAACTGAGGACTCTTCGATCTACGATTAATGTTTCAGTGTGTACTTTTTATAAAATTATCCTTCTTTAAAATGTTCTATTCCAGGCCATTAAGATGGCTTCCCACCAAGCCACATGCTGAAATGAAGAACTAACCCCTGAAAGTTTTCTTCTGACCTGCACACACACACCAACACAATTAAATAAATAAATGTACTGTTTTTTAATGTTCTGTCACCTGGGAACATAGTCATAATTCATGGTATATAATATAATTGTATTTAGAAGTAAACAGAAGAAACCAAAATGCCTTTTTTTTTTTTTTAACTGAGTGATAGGATTTGGATTTAGTTCACAGGCTACTTGCCAAGATTGAGGATGTACTGCATGAAACATGGAGGAAGGGCATCTGGAATGGTCTGAGAAGGGAATCTTCACTCTGCACCTGGACCACTAATAGCCAGGCAGGGTCTACCCTCCAATGCAGCACACTGCTGCTGCCTGTCAATCCTCATGAACACAAACAACATCACATCAACTCCAAACCACCCATATGGCTTGCTCAGGGGCAAATTCCAAATCTGCTGTGGGATGGTCTGTATATCAAATGTGTTGCTGATTGGTCAATGAATAAATCACTGATTGGCAGTGGCCAGGCAGGAAATATAGGCGGGACTAAGAGAGGAAAATTGAGAGAACAAGAAGCTGGGTGAGGGAGACACTGCCAGCCGCCATCAGGACAAGGAAGATGTAAAGTACCGGTAAGCCACAAGCCACGTGGCAAGGTACAGATTAATAGAAATGGATTAATTTAAGCTGTAAGAACAGTTAGCAAGAAGCCTGCCACGGCCATACAGTTTGAAACCAATATAAGTGTCTGTGTTTACTTGATCGGGTTTGAGCGGCTTGGGACTGGCGGGTGAGAGAGATTTGTCCTGACTGTGGGCCAGGCAGAAAAACTCTAGCTACACAAATCCCTTCATCTAGTGTCACCCAAACCTCTAGCTTCCTGGTTCAAACTCCTCCCCCTAACTGATCACAGCCCTTTAAACTGTTTTTGACTCAACTCATAGGAAGAAATAAAATTTATGAATATATATTATTTATACAGTATAAATTTAGGTTGTGACTTAGTCATGACCTGATGCATCCCAGTCTGCAATATGGAAATCACTGACTGCCCCTCACACGGTTTTCTTTCCCACCTAGGTTCCAGCCAACTCTTCTTTCACCCTTTGTCCAAACTAGTCCCGGATAGCTGGAAAGACCTTCCCTTCTTCACAGAGCAAGCCCCTACTGGCCTCTCAATACTCAACCCAAATGTTATTTCCTCAGAGAAACCTTTTTGGATACTGCTGCAGTCACCATGTTTCCATCCTCAGACATCTCAGGCTTAGTGCACCCTGAGTGACAGGATGTATCATGTACAATGGATAATAATGGATATGAGTTAGGCTGGGAATGTTACCATCCTAGTCTGTGAGGTCCAAACAATCCAGGGCTAGGAATGTGATTTAGCTGGTAGTGTCTGCTAGTATGCTGAGACCCTGGGGTTCTATCTCCAGGATCACACAAACCAGGTATGTTGGCACACACTTGTAACCCCAGCCCTTGAGGGGTATGGATAGGAGGATCAAAAGTTCGATCCTTAGTTTACATAGTGAGTCTGAGGCCAACTTGACTACACGAAACTGTCTTCCTCTTGAATTACTAGCTCCTCTACACCCAGACTCTCTTACCTGTGCACTGGCCAATTAGTCTTCTTTTGGGTCCTCAAGGACACAAGTCTTTCCTACTTATGAGCCCTATCTGTGCCCTTTCCAGGGCAAGAATGCTGGTGCTTTAGCTCACTATCTTCAGAGAAGCCGTCTGCCCAATTTCTCACATTTCCTTTGACTTCTGACATTTCTCCCTGAAATTATCATTTGTTCACTTCACTGTCTTCCGAGCTATAATGTTTGAGCTTTGAAGGGAAGGATCTACAGTACTGGCCCATTACGTTCAGCACCTAGAGCGGCGCCCAAACACAGTAACAGCAGGACCCCTGGGAAACATCAGGAGAAAAACCAGTAGAGTGGGAGAGGAGGCAGATGAGGCCACAGGAGTCTTAGAGACGCGTCTTCAAGCCTGCTCCGGCCTCGAGGGGTCGCTGGCAGAAAGGGCCACCACGTATACACACACACAAGGCCAGCCCCATGGTTGGGAGACAGGGAGGGAGCAGAGGCGCCAGGCACCGCGTTCCAGGGCCTACCAGTAATAAGTGACTGTACAAGCCGTGCACACCCGCTCGGCCGGGGCTTCGCACACCTCACAGCAGAGCCGGCGCCCCTTGGGCACCGCCAGCGGGTAGATCACGTTCATGGTGCAGCCCGCAGTGTCTGTCTCCAGGACGGTTGCCAGGCTCGCCCACGAAAGACATAGACGTCACGTGACAACCGCGGGCCAGCAGGGGCGTCGGGATTTCAAGGGCAAGGGGGCGGAGCGAGGCGGGACTAACAGCGGCAATCGGGAAGGGGAGAGCGCAAACTCTTAAGTCCCAAAGGTTAAATGGCTAGAATTTGATTGCAATGGAACCCAAGCTTGAGGAGGGATGTACGGTGGCCGGTAAAGGTAAAAAAAAAAAAAATTAAAAAAAAAATCCACTTAGCTTTCCAGACTAGGAAACCCACAGGAGGTATATTTTTTCTGGATTTTCGAGAAAGACGCTTCCCTCTCAATGCACTTCGATGGACTCTGACAGACAGACAAGCATTTTGAAGCCTTGGCGAGGTCAGGACCTAGGGATGTCCCGAAGGCAGGGAACGCCCACAGTCACTATTTGCGGTTGCGCGCAGCTCAGGAATCCGGAAGGGGGCGTGGCGCCAGCGGCCGGCGTGCCGGGACGCGGTGGTTCCTGCGTGCAAGTGACTCTAGCTTGCAGATGGCGGAAATGGACCTGGTCGCGGACTTGCCGCGACCCGAGGGTGCTGCGCGCTGGGCAGAGGTTATGGCTCGCTTTGCGGCCAGGCTGGGCGCGCAGGGCCGGCGGGTGGTGCTGGTCACGTCGGGAGGCACCAAGGTCCCCTTGGAAGCGCGAGCCGTGCGCTTTCTGGACAACTTCAGCAGCGGGCGACGCGGGGCAGCGTCGGCCGAAGTCTTCCTGGCTGCGGGTTACGGGGTCCTGTTCTTGTACCGAGCGCGCTCGGCCTTCCCCTATGCCCACCGCTTCCCGCCGCAGACCTGGCTGTCGGCCCTGCGGCCTTCTGGCCCAGCCCAGTCGGGGAAACTGAGTCTGGAGGCCGAAGAGAATGCACTCCCGGGCTTTGCTGCAGCATTGCAGAGCTACCAAGAGGCAGCTGCTGCCGGCACCTTCCTGGCAGTGGAGTTTACCACTTTGGCGGACTACCTGCATCTACTGCAGGCTGCGGCTCTGGCTCTCAACCCACTAGGTGAGTGCTGTAAGGAATCCAAAGGTCTCTTGGAGGTAGAACCATTCTTCCAGCCTCTTTCTCTCATGCTTGCTGCTTATCCCACAGCCAGGGAACCCGGATTGAAAAGGAACAGACCCCATGCCCTTCCCCGGTTTCTTAGACTCTGGTTTTCTTTACAGGCTCTTCTGCGATGTTTTACCTGGCTGCGGCAGTGTCAGATTTCTATATTCCTGTCTCCGAAATGCCTGAACACAAGATCCACTCATCTGGTGGCCCACTGCAGGTGATGGGCTCTCTTCCAGAGATCTGACCCCCTATAACCAGTCTTGGGTTGCTTTCCTCTTGATCTGGAGATGGCCTTTCTGCATTCTGTATGAGCTAGGCACTGGGAATACAGAGATGAATAAGACACTGCCCTCCGTCAAGGACCTCACAATCTAGCGAGGGCCTGGACACCAGCCATAATCACAAATCAGAATGATAAATGCTGTAGTGGAGGTATGTACACAGAGCAGTCAGGTCTCGGGGTAGTGAGATGGGGGAGTCAAGTTCTCCTGGAGATGACTGATCAGAAGATGGGTATACTAAAGCGGGGGAAGGTCATTCCAAGTGGAGTTACAAGTGGGAGTTTGCAACTGGGTAATGTTCTGTGAAATGAAGTGCTTTGGAAGGCTGAAGAGGCAGCTTGCCTTTTCCTGGGGGTGGGGGGGACAACTTTGGTTTTTGTTTTTTGGGTTTTTTGTTTGTTGTTGGTTTTTTGTTTTGTTTTTCAAGACAGGGTTTCTCTGTGTAGTTTTGGTGCCTGTCCTGGAACTCCCTCTGTAGACCAGGCTGGCTTCGAATTTACAGAGATCCACCTGCCTCTGCCTCCCTAGTGGTGGGATTAAAGGCATGTGCCACCAACCACGACCGGGCTTGGATTCCTTCTTAAGACCCTTGGACTTTATCTTGTGAAGGCCAGAGGCACTTCGGTGGAAGAAAGAGATAACAGTTTCTGTTTGGGCTTAGTGACACATTCCCTTCATTGCAGCCCTTCAGTTACAGATGATCTCCGTGAGTTCAAGGCCAGCCTGGTCTACATAGTGAGTGAGTTCCAGGCCAGCCAGGGCAGCACAGTGAGACCCCATCTCAAATAAAAATAAAAAGTTTTGTTTGTAAAGAATATTCTAGCATTTTGAAAAATGAGGTAGGAAATAGAGTGGATAAATAGGGGTTAGTATAGTTTAAGGAAAAGGTATGAGAGGATAGTGTCGTGGCTGAGAATTTAAGGTGATTTGGTGCCTTGGAACCTGAGGGAATTCATACACATTTATTGGATAAGTAGTTTATAGATGAACCTATTGGAAGGGCACCTTTGGGACAGTTTACTTACACATTTTGGAGCACCTCCTGTGTGTCGAGTACTGTGGTAGTACCTAGAGATGAGGAGAAGTACACTAGCAGTTGCTAGCACTGCTCACACTCTTGAGGGGAGTGGAATCCCTGCTGCTGTACACCGGTGAACTGGTGATAAATGCCAAGCAGATGGACAAAGTGGGAGCTTGGATGGGATTCCTGTCTCACTTGCTAAGAGGCCGCATACTCTTTAACAGTATCTTGAGAAGAGAGAGAATAGCTCCGTACTCCCCTTTGGTTATACAAGGGTTTAGGAAACAGGGCAGGAACTTGAGTCAAGTGAAGACCAAGTCAGTTGTGTCCTCACTGGTCTGTTGTGATTGTTGTATTTATACCTGTAGTTGACAAATGAGGGGGGAAAAATGTAAGTAGAAACCAGTAGCCACTCCAGTGATTTGGCATATTTTAGATGGAGAAGTTTAAAACCCAGTATTAATGGACTTCTGCCAAAGTAACGTTTCCACGAGTGGATTACATTTGTTTATCTTCAGACTGTCATTAAAAAGAGAGATGAACATGATCAAAATACAATGTGTAAGATGCTGAAAGACTTACAAATGTTGAAATGAGTTAAAGGGAGTGCTGGGCATGGCGTCACTTCCCACCCCTAATCCCAGCACTCTGGAGACAGAAACAGGTAGATCTGAGTTTGCAGCCAGCCTGGTTCACATACCACGTTCTGTCTAGGTCAGCCAGGGCTGCATAGTGAGACCCTGTCTTCAAAAGTCATAACGATAGCAAAATAAAAGGGATGTTTGGGGAACTGTGGTGAGATGACAGAATAGTACAGGTCCAGGAAACGTATTTTACCCCAGAGTAGGTGTCAGGCCTTGAATTTAGGCATCATGAGCCCCACAGAACCTAGTCTTAGGCGTTTTAGTGTGCTCCAAGAAGTTACACAATGAGAAATCCCATTTACACTGAGGCAGAAGTCGGTCCCTGATTGCTTAGAGTCCTGGCGGGGACTGACCACTGTTTACTTATTAAACTTTGTGTGCTCTCTCCCACACAGATAACGATGAAGATGGTGCCCAAAATGCTCTCTCCCCTGGTTAAAGATTGGGCTCCCAAAGCCTTTATAGTTTCCTTTAAGCTGGAAACTGACCCCGCCATCATCATTAATCGTGCTCGGAATGCTTTGGAGGTTTATCAGCATCAGGTGGTGGTGGCCAACATCCTCGAGTCAATACAGTCCTTTGTGGTTATCGTCACCAAAGACTCAGAAACCAAGTTACTGCTGTCCGAGGATGAAATCGCCAAAGGCGTGGTGATAGAGGAGAAGATAGTGGAGGACCTTCGGTCGCGACACACGGCGTTTATATGTGACAAACACTGAAGGAAGCGCTCGCCTAGCGTCCCAACCAGGGTTCTTATAACTGACAGGAAGTAGGATGAATCCTTTGCTAAGGATACAGACAATGAGGAAACAGTGTGCAGGCAAATAATGTCGGTATTTTGTTTCTGACTGAACTGCTTGACACACACCTCTTGATTTGGAAATGGAACAAGAACTGTTTTTCACTTTTTACAAAGCCGACTGGGATTTTGTGTTCTTCAGAACAGATGTAGGGGACTTAAACTGAATGTCGGCCTACTGTACAAATAGGAGGATCGAGGACGCATGAGTGGTCATGCTCTGAAGATCAGGTATTTATCAAGTGCCTACCATGTGCCAGGGCCTGTGTGAGCTTTGAGGGTTTAAAAGATGAATAAACAACGTCTCATTCGGGAACTGGATGTACAAAAATTTAAGTGCAATAATAAAGTATGTGCCCACAAACCGACACATGGAAAGGGTGGGTTTTTTTGTTTTTGTTTTTAAGATTTAGTTATTTTTATTTTATGTGTTTGAGCATTTCTGCGTGCATTTGTGTCTATGTGCCATCGTATACAGTACCTTTGGAGGCTAGAAAAGGGGATCAGATTCTCTGTACTCCAGTTCCAGAGGTTGTGAGCCTCCCTGTGGGTGCTGGGAATTCAGCATGATCTTTCTTTTTAAAATACACTTTTACTAAAACAGGAATAAGGCACACACTTCCCTAAAGATAGACTGAAGATCACAAACCTTCCTGCATTTACTTTTTTGCCTCTTGTCCTAGATTTATTCCATATTTAAGTAACACTTTTCAAATATTGTAGATCTGTTCTTCAGGTAATTACCAGCCTTCCACTTGGGGCCCAACAGGAGCTAAATCAATACTTGTGCCCTGAGGGACTTGGTACAGTGTAGTAAAGAGTGTGGGGCTTGGTCAGCCAGCTGGACCTTCTATTAGCTTCATAAATGTAGGCACTTGACAACGCAAAGTCCTTTATTATGTATCATTTGCAATACACGAGAGCCTCGGGTGTGCCTGGGGGATCTTGTGACCTAAGTCATGGGAAGGCAACAAAGCCCCTTCAGTAAAACAGTTCCACAAATCACGGAAAACAATCACTCTTTTCCACAAGGACTCTTCAAGGTCAAAGTACTTCTAGAAAACTATTCATTTTAATGTCGACCCAGATACAGTGACTGCTAATCTCTACAACTTACTACAATGTGGGGATAAAGCAACACTGGAGGTAGACCATTAGTCCCTTGTCTGACATTTTACACTCAGGAAGTTGGTGCAGTTACTGTTTTTCTCAGAGGATTAGGCTAAGATCATTGAGTCCCTGAGAAGTTCTCACTGCTGTTTTGGAGTAAGACTGTATGCCTAGTGCATAAAAATCCAGTAAATGATCCATAGAATAGTCATGAATGCAGTTGGGAGGGAAATGCCATTAATTATGTAGAACTCGATAGTGTTCTACATAAATGTTTGATTTAGGGACTGGTGGTGCAGGCCCTGGGTGTGATCCACAGCACTGCAAAAGCCTGCCTTACAGTCAGCTCATGGGGTTGGGAAGGGTGGTGCAGGCCCTGGGTGTAATCCACAGCATTGCAAAAGCCTGCCTTACAGTCAGCTCATGGGGTTGTGAAGGGGAGCCTGAAGTCCTACTGAGGAGGCAGTAAACAGCAGTGGCAAGGTGAGTAGACACAATTCCACTTGGAAGTTTGGCCTCCAGCACAGGAGGCCGGTGCTGCAGTCAGGAGTGAAAGCAGTCTCTTGGAGCACACAGTGGAGATGAACTTTAGGTCTGGTTGGCAAAACCTCCAAAACAACAGGCTTCAACTCTGGTACAGTGTTGTAAAGGATTGATTTTCCTCTCCACTCCCATAGCCTGGGGGTGCTGACTCACCTCTGTATATTGGGATATATGCTGCTAGAACTAGGTGATCTTCAAGGTGGTATTCCGGATTGTTTTATTAAAGCTCTGAAATAACCACTATCCTATTGTATGGACTCAGTGCTATTCCTTCCATTTATTATCTGTTCCAGTGCTTAAAAACAGTATTTACCTAGGTAGAAGTTCCAGGAATGTGTGTGTGTGTGTGTGTGTGTGTGTGTGTGTGTTTTAGCAGGTGGAAATGCTTGCAAAAGGGGTCATGAGTCAACAAAGGCAAACAGGAAAGCATTTGATCTAGATAGGAGGACCAAGGAACCTTTCCCAGACTGAAGCTGATAAATGAAAGTGGGCTATGGGTCATGGTAGAGGGGAGCATTCTAACACAGAAAATAGCGGGTGCTATCTGGATGGTGGTACCAGATGATCCAGGAGAGGTTAACAGTAAAACCAAGAAATGTAAGTGGTGTTTGGGGTACCAGCAAAGCAAAGGCCTCCAAAAAGAGCAAAATTCAACTTTAACAAGCACCTGGAATCTTACAAAGAACATCTGAAGATTTAAGTTGAGCCTATGCTAAAAATGTATCATTAAAGATGTTTACTTTGGGGCTCTGGTTACTAGCATTTGCTGCTCTTGAAGAGGGCCCAAGATTGGTTCCCAGCACCCATAAGAGGCCTCACAAGAGCTATAACTCCAGGTCCACATCTGGTGTCCTCTTTTGACCTTCTTGGGCTCTGGTGTGCATGTGGTGCACATAAACTCGTCAAGGCAAAGACACATGCACATAAATACATCTTTAAAAACTTTATTCTGCATTACATAAGCAAGAAGCCAAACAGCTATCAGTGCTTAGGTTTTCTGAAGGGTTCCAGCCTTTGTGGTAATTCTGGTCAAGCCCAGTTTCTGCATTTTTCACAATAACTGGCTAGGTCCAAGAGTGTCGAAATTAGGTACTCTAGTGGTTAAGGCTAATCTGGTCCTAAATTCAGAATTACTGGCATGCATAGTATCCTGCCTTAATAATTTTTCTTTTTAAAGGCAAGGTTTCACTCTATAGCTCAGGCTACACTGGACTTTACTATGTAACACAAGCTGGCTCCAAACTCAATTCTACTTCACCCTATTATGCTGGAATTAACAGGCGTTGACCCTCACGCCCAATTTTTGAAATCACTTACAGAAAAATAAATACAAAGAGTATAGGAAACAGAGGACTAGAACCCTGTGTCAAGTTAGTTATATAGACGCGGCACATTGTTGCTATGGTTACAGCTGCCACCCGAGCCAATGGCGTAGATCGTAGATCCTGGAGGCCAATGGTGTACGTTGTAACAACAGTCACCACAGGAAAGACGGCCTCTAGTCCCCACAGCGTGCGCAGTCTCCATGGCTCCGGCCGGATGCGAGCTTGTGCGTCCCCTGCTGAGCGTGGTTGCCATGACAACACTGGTAGGCTGTAGCTGAGCGCCCCCAGCTATTCTGCGCGCACTTAGGGCAATCCTCGGCGGCAGCCCTAAGTCCACTTCAGGTCGAAGACGGACCTGCTCTTCCCGGGGTGCATTTTCTGGATCTTTCCGGCTTCCCGGTTCGCTCCTTCGCACAGGCTGGAGGGCTTTGGTGTGCCCGGCTGGGTCGCGTTTCGCCCTGGAGAGGCGTGCTTCTCTCTAGTTGACATCCGGAGGTGACTGTCCCTGAAGGTCTCCATAGTCGCAAAGGCCCCGGAAACTCAGCCGTCCCCTGCTCGTGAGCTGAGGGAAAGGACTGTGGGACCAGCTTCGTCACGCGCAGCCTTGCATCCGGATGAAGCTCTGCAGGCCATTGGTAACAGCGGCATCCGAGGTCATCAAGTCAGTTGCCTTCTGCCTTTCAGCCTTCAACTCCATCCACTTCTCTCACCATCCGAGCACCGGTTCCCTTATCCTATTCATCCCGCAACCATCTCCACCCTTCCCTGTCCACGCTGTGCATTGTTGAATGTCCCTGTGTCTCCACCACTCTGTCATCTATTGGCCACCTACTTCCGTTTCCCTACCGCAGGGCTTTGCATGACTGCACATTTCTCATTCTCCAGCCCTGCAGTCACTGTGAAGATTTTCCATTTCTCTGCACTGTTGCAAGCTCTCTGTCCTGGGTGAACTTGAAATGGGAAAAGTAAACGTTGCAAATACATACATTAGACTGTTGCAAACCTGTTGTGTTTTGAAAATAGAAAGTAAATGTCAGATTTGGACTTATTGTCAGCCACATGCACACATCCCATATACGAAAGTTGTTCCTTGTTAAGTACTATGTTAGACATAAATTTGGGTAATGTGTTTATACTTGTAATAATGTCGTTCAAAAATGATCGCAGCCGGGCGGTGGTGGCGCACGCCTTTAATCCCAGCACTTGGGAGGCAGAGGCAGGAGGATCTCTGTGAGTTCGAGGCCAGCATGGTCTACAGAGTGAGTTCCAGGAAAGGCGCAAAGCTACACAGAGAAACCCTGTCTCGAAAAACCAAAAAAAAAAAAAAAAAAAAAAAAAATTCGCATAACAGAATTTTGACTTTTAGGCCAATGGACATCCAATACCCAGGGAAGGTGGGATTTGCTAGAGTGGGGATCCTTGAAATTGTTCGTGTCTTCTTTTCTTTAAGTTTCTAAATTAGAAAATAATTTTAGTGAAGAAAACCAAGCAAGAGCAACTTAAGATAGATATTTTTGGCAAAGAAGCAGGCCCAATGCCCCCCCCCAAAGATGAATACAGAAGTTCTTAGTACAAAATGGGGGTAATTTAGATCCAGTGAAAATTTCTTTTAGCCTGGAAAGTATGATTTAACTCATAACTTCATAATATGCATTGCTCATTGGCTCTGACTAATTACTTTTTTGGCATTCAGGTTTAAATGTAGACCTATGTTTGAGGACCGATAAGTTTACATTTTAAACAGATACTTTGGGGGTTATAGCAATATTTTGATCTCTTAGACCAATTGAAGCAGGACTGATTTACAAATGCTGAAAACTTCAGTTCTCTGTACTAAATTAGAAAGGGAAAAAGTTCTTCAGCTTTTCTAATTTTTCACATCAAATAAAACTAAGTAGAATTCCTTGGGAAACACACAGAGGCCACTAGGTTCTTTTACAAGATGCTTCCTCCTCCAGTATGTGTTGAACAAGCAGTATAACAGGGCTAAAGTACAGCTTTTTCCCTCCCGGAACAGTTCCAAACCAGGGAGTGGGGTGAGGCATTTGCAAGGCATGGAGTCACAGCTGGGTGTGTGCTACTGGCCCCTAGTCAGCAGAGGCCGGGGCTGCTGTGGTACATCTCCTGCAGAACATCCCTCAGAACAAAGAATGATCCCATGTGAATGGTGCCAGGGCCAAAAAAAAAACCATCCTAATGTCCCCAGTGGTGGCTTTTTATATCCTACTCAGTCTCAGTTCACATGCGTTTTACATATTGATGGTGTACATTTTTCTTTATCTTTCTCTTAATTTATGTGTTAAGCATTTCTCACATTGCTACATTGTTTTCAACTTTTAAACAGTGTATTTTATTAGGAATTGAAACAACTATAAATCATATTCTTGGGTTCAAGGGTATGCATTTTCTATTACATTTCTACAGAAGGAGGAAGGTTAGGTTTTCAAGTCAAATGATTGGCTGTTCCAGTTGGTGGCTGTGGTGTTTGTTTGTTCATTAGCAGTCACTTAAAGACCACATGATCCCAGACCATTCATTTACTCAGAGCGAGAAAGTGAGGCCCTGGTCCCTCTGTTGTAGTTAGAGTGCCTGCTAGGAGAGAATAAAGAACAAACCTATGCTGTTTGCCCTTTCTCCATTAACAATTCGTTATTACTGTCTGTTTACTGACACTTCCTTTGGCTCACCACCTCGTCCTTCGTATGTGGGAGGTTTTAGAGGACTAAAAACATCTCAGGATATACTTGCCTAAGATGCTGAATGACCATTACTTCGGTATCCACTTTGTAGAGAAGACTATACTCATTTACTTTGTTAAATGGGGGCAAGTTGAGGTACAGTTTAAATATCAGAGAATTTATAATTCAAAGGACGTGTTTTTACTAACTCAAGATCTGCTGTGTTAGAATTTTAAGATTTCTCAACCACCAAATCTGAGTTCACTTGGGGAGAAAATACTGTTCTGGGATGTCCTCACACCACCCCAGGTAGAGGGACACCGAGGTGGGAGCAGTGGCCAGGTGGCATGAAAGCCCAATGCTGAAGAGGATCAGAAGATGACGTGAGAGAGGCAGGCAGGAACCAGGCTGGAGAGAATCTCGGGTGCCAAGCCAAGGGGTTAGGACTCCTCCTGAAAGCCATGCATACATGAAGCAGCAAGTGATGCGCGTTCAGAATGAGCCTGCTGGGGGCTGGACAGAGTGCAGATTGGATGGAGCCAGCATGGCGGCAGCAACGTGAGTTGCAAACGCTGCTGTGCTCTTCTGAGCACATCATGAGCGCCTGTGCTAAGCCAGCAAGCATGGAGAAGGTGAATCAGGAAGTGAGAAGAGGGCTAGAAGCTACAGATTCGGAGACTGTGCGATGGTAAGAGGAATGGGGAGGAGTTGAGGATGACACCCAGGCTGTATCACTGTAGCATTGGTGATTATGACTATGGACTACAGAAGATAGAGGGGGAAACGGATTATCCAAGCTGAGTTGTTCCACTGACAAGTGGACATGCACGGATCTGAGTCCACCCACTTCGTATTGCCCTTCCACCGTGTCCTGTTTGTCAGAGCTTGCATCCTCCACCCCGTCCTCTCTTGAACGTTAGACCGGAGGGACCATATCTGTACTCTTGCTTCCAGCCCATTTCCACCTACAACTCACTGAATGAGAACTATACACGTGGAGGAGGGCCCAGTTCATTGAGTAATTAACCAAAGTTCTCAAAAGTTTGAGCAGAGAGAAACGAAGCATTGACCTCTCCTGAAATGATGTGTAGGCTTGGGGCTTGAAGCCTTGCTGATGAGCAGCAGCAAAGAATGCCCTGCTGAGGGAAGGATTCACAGAGAAACCCACACATAAGTGCATCAGGAAGCCAGGCGTGGTGGCTTTAATCTCAGCACAAGAGACAGGCAGGTAGAACTCTAAATTCAAGGCCAGCCTGGGCTACACAGGGAGTTAGTTCCATGCTAGTCACGGCCACATGCTGAGAGCCGGTCCAAGAAAAAAAAAAAGGTAAGATTCTCATGAGCCAGGCTGTCCCTGAGCACTTAGAAGGTAGAAGCAGGATGATTAGAACTCGGGGTTAGCGGAGCTTGAGTCCCTGCTTTTCTGTTTCTACCGTCTAAGGAATTACAGGTGTGGACTACCACATCTGCTGGCTTTATAGCTTATCCTTTCAATAACGTCCTTGAGGTGGAAAGGAACTAACTGGCTGTGAGTGACAGGAAGCACAAGGCAATAACGGCTTGCGTGGGTGGGGAGTATAGCTCCGCAACAGAGTGCTTGCCTCCCATGCAGGAATCCTCAGGGAAAACAACTGATGTGAAAGAGAAGGTGGGCCGGGCGGTGGTGGCGCACGCCTTTAATCCCAGCACTCGGGAGGCAGAGCCAGGCGGATCTCTGTGAGTTCGAGGCCAGCCTGGACTACCAAGTGAGTTCCAGGAAAGGCGCAAAGCTACACAGAGAAACCCTGTCTCGAAAAACCAAAAAAAAAAAAAAAAAAAAAAAAAAAAGAAAGAGAAGGTGGGCTGTTGGATGGCTTAGCAGGTGTGATCTGCAGAACCCGCGGAAAACCTGGGTGCCATGGCTTTTGTAAAACGGAGGGAGACAGGCCTTGGCGAGTTGGAGCCAAGGTGCCCCACAGCGGGACACGCCATGCAGACAGCGCTCACGAGGAGAGTTTTATTAGTGGTGAGGAGAGAGAGAAAGGGAGCACACAGCAGCCTCATGGGAAGAGAGAGAAGGAGAGAGAGAAGGTAAGAGGGGGGAGAGACAGAGAAAGACAAGGAAAGAGTGCGGGCAAGGGGACTGAGAAGCCAGAAGAGACAGAAGGTGGGCGGGGTCCCATATTTAATAAGGGGATAGCGCACATGCGCAGAGAGACCACAATGAGCGCACGACGTAGTCAGCATCATGAGATGGCCAAGGCATTGCCTGTGTATTGGCAGCTCCCCAAGGGGTGGGTCTGAATGCTAACAATGGCTTGCATCTATAATCCCAGCACTGCTGTGGTGAGATGGGAAGTAGAGACAGAAGCCCACAGGCCAACTAGCCCAAAGTAGGCAGAACAGTGAAAACAAGAGAGACCCTGCCTCAGCACAGTGGAAAGAGATAACTGACTCCCTGAAATTGTCCTCTGATCACCTTACACGTGTGTGGAATGCATGTGCCTGCACTCACACATATACACTTGCAAATATATTTAAAAAGAAAGTTGCCCATACTTTGTAGGCTGCATCTTGGAACCGTAAGAGGTCCAGGTTTCTTCTTTTTGGGTTATTTTTTTTCTCCATAGCATGTGGTTTCCATTTGATGGCATCAGAATGCCTACTCAGGTTTCAGCTACCATATTTGAATTCCAGCAAGAAGAAATAGGAAGGAACAAGGAGGAGGAATTCCGGCCCCTAAAGAGCACTTCCTGGAAGCAGTGCAGAATGTCTCCTTGTCTTAGGGTTTCTGTTGCTGTCAAGAGATACCACAACCACAGCAACTCTTATAAAGGAAAATATTTAACTGGGGCTTGGTTACAGTTTCAGAGGTTTAGTCCATCATCATTATGGCAGAAAGACTGGTGCTGAAGAGGTAGCTGAGAGTTCTACATCTAGATCAGCAGGCAACAGGAAGAGAGAGTGACACTGGGCCAGCCTTGAGCATCTGAGACCTCAAAGCCCGCCCCCAGTGACGCACTTCCCTCCGAGAAGGCCACACCTCCTAATCCTTCTCAAGTCACATCACTTCCTGATGACCAAGCATTCCAATCTATGAGCCTATGGGGGTCATTCTTATTCAAACCACCACATTGTGAGCTGCCATGTGGGTGCTGGGAGCTGAGCCCACATCCTCTGCAAGAGCCATCTGTGCCTCTAGCTTCTGAGCTCTCCAGCCCCTAAAGCAGCAGATATTTGATCCATTGTCATGGTGTAAGATGATATACAGTATGATTTCTTCTTAAAATTTTTGTTTGGGGCGTGAAAAGTCTCAATCCTCCCCGGTAGTGAATAATGCCGGCAATGTAATAAATCAGATCAGGCCAAATTGGCAAATCTAGGTTTAATCTGAGCAGAGCATTCCTGGGTGGTCCAGGGGAAGAGGAGAAGCCACGAGGGAAAGCTACAGGCGAGAGTCTTGGGCTGGACCTTAAATGCCCTCCAGGGGTGGAGCCACGGCATGGGGGGCATTCTCAGGGGCAGGGTTTGGAGAGGGCAGCTCCAGGAGAGATCCCCAACAGGGGGGATTATTATTTTCAAAGTAAGAAAAATTAGTAGTAGTAGAAGGATTAGGTCAAACAGTTCTATTAGGGACTGGGGCTGGGGCTCATAGTAGCAAGGCCAAGGGTTCAGTCCTCAGTGTTGTTCCTTCCCAAAAAAGAGAACTTTTAAAGCAAGCTGAATGATACTGAAGTCAACACTATAAGGCACATCCTGTAAGTAAAATAATTCCTTGAAAATAGAGAATTAGGAGACTGTAGCTTCCAGCAGACTCCTTTCACTTATAAATGTTTTATAGGAAGAACCAACACTTCTTTGAGCTTTATAATATTGTTAAGGCTTTTTTTGAGATTTAAACATATTAAATTGTAAACCCACACTGGACGGATATAAAATCACGTATTTTTAATTTTTAAAATTCCATTGATTATCATTGTGTATGTGACGTGTGATAGTGCAGATGCACACTTGCCCCTGGCTGCTCTAGGACCACTCCTGTGCTTTTATCCTAGAGCAGCAGCGTAGGGAGGCTGGGGACGCAGTGTGAGTGGGAAGAAATGACAGGGAAGCACAGGGAAGAAACAAAAGGAGGCTAATGACACACAATTGTAAAGACGCCTGGGGTTGGTTCAGCATCTTCCATTAAACCGGTGCATTAATGGCTAACATTTGAGGCCAGCAATGGTGCTGCATGCCTCTCATCCCAGCACTCAGGAGGCAGAGGCAGGCAGATCTCTGTGAGTTCGAGGCCAGCATGGTCTGGAAGTGATTCCAGGCTAGCCAAGGCTACATAGAGTCTCTCTCTCTCTCTCTTCTCTCTCTCTCTCTCTCTCTCTCTCTCTCTCTCTCTCTCTCTCTCTCTCTCTCTCTCTTCCTCCCTTCACCCCCCCCCACACACACACAGAATGGGATCCAGTGTCCATGGGAACAGAGAAAGTGCTTTGCCTTGGGAATAAGGACAGCTCATTATTTTTCTCAAGGGGAAACAATGCAGGAGTTGGTGGACTTGGTAAGTGTGGAAGTTCTTTGCAGAGCAAGAAGCAGGGTGAGGAGAGTGAAAGGGGAGGTGATGGAGGCTTGAGGAGAGAGGGTGTGAATCAGTAGTCTAGTTCCACAGAGTGAAAACAGACCTGCAGGGACACGGGACGACAGCCGGGCAGCAGTACGGCTTCACTGGGGATGAGCAGACCTAGACTCCAAGCCGCGCTGGCCGCGCTGGCCACGCTGTGTTCTCAGCGCTGCTGGAGCGAGGCGCAGGAGACGGGGAGTTGCGACGAGGTGAACCAGGGCTTTGCTCAGAGCTAACGTGGAAGCAAAGAAAGGCAGGGAGGAGCGCATTCCCAGTGCGTGGATTATGACCACGGGCCTGGCTCTATGCTGTGCGAAAAAGCAAATGAGCCAGACGTGGTTCACACACCTGTAATCCCAGCACTGGGGAGGCTGAGGCAGGAGGATCAGGAGTTTGAGGCCAGCCTGGGCTACATAGTGAGACTCTGACTCAGTGAATGAGAACTGGAGAGGATAAGGGACTTTGGAAGGGTCTGAGGCTCACGAGTTAGAGTTTCTACTATGGTTGAAACTGAGCCTCTAGAAGTGTCCTGGAGGGATGATTAGAGAATAGAATGCCAGAAACAGACCCGAGAGCGGCTACTCTTCCTGGTAATGACAGAGCCCAGGGGATTACTACGGACGGCTGGAGTAGGACAGAGGACTAGATCTTTGGGGTTTGCTGGAGGACTGGGAAGCCAGAGTATGGGACAGTCATCTTGAGAAGTGCCCGTGTCAGGATTTGTTGAGTGACCTTGGGCAAGTCATTGGCTTCTTGGTGCCTCAGTCTTCATCTCTTAAGGAGGAACGTTAGTATTTCTGCTTCACTTGAATTCTGTAAGATGGAAAGCGCCACATCTGGAGTACACCTGTGCTCAGGAAACAGCACAGCTGTGAGTTAACTCAGACCCGGAGTCCCTAGTAAACCTTAAAAGGTGCTCTTACTCTTTAATTGGTGAAAAATTAAAAACTGTGGTGGCAACGAGTTTATCTACACCCTGGGAGCCGCTTCCCACTGTTCTTACTGTTTCTGTGAGACTCTGATCAGGGAGGACTGTAGACCACCTACCCACCCTTCCTTCCTTCCTCCTTCCCTCCCTCCCTCCCTCCTCCCTCCTCCCCTCCCTCCCTCCTTCCCTCCCTCCTTTCACCACTCCCCTTCATCCTTTTCATCTCTCCTTCCCTTTCTACCCCTTCTTTCCTTTTTTTCTCTTCAAAAGTTTTATTTTTACTTTTGTGTGTGTGCCTACCACCTGTGTGTGAGTCCCAGTAACGGACAGAATAGGGCATCAGGTCTCCTGAAGGAGTTACAGATGGTTGTGAGCAGCCCTGCGTGGGTGCTGGGACCAGAACTCGGGTCCTCTGGATGAGAAGTGCATGCCTCAGCCGTTGAGCTATCTCTCGGCCCCTTTTCTCTCTGTTTTAGAACAAGGTCTCACTATGTGGCACAGCCTGACCTCAAACTCATAATTCTCCTGCCTCCACCTCAAATGCTGGGATTGGGTGTGTGCCACCATGTCCCACCCTTATGTTATTGTTTCTGAGAGTTTTTAAACACCCTGGGAAGACCGGGGGCGGGGAGGACAATGTGAGTGTTATTTTTATTAATTATTAAACTCTAATTAAGAACTTTCTTGATGTTTTATAAAAAAATAGTTATTTACCTACAGTTCTTTTAACAGTTTTCTGTTATTTCTTCTCAACAGAAGCCCAAATAAGGGAACCCAAAGAAATGTGTCAAGAAGGCTTGTCTAGACTAGCTCTGAGCAGCCGCAGTAAACAGACCGAGTGCTCTCTGGGAGAGAGGAGGACACTAGCAGCAGCCCCAGAACTCATGAACTCCATGCTGGAGTCTCGAAGACACCCAAGCGGTAGCCTCCAGAAAGAATTTCCCCAGGTATTCTAGAATTAACTAGATAACTGTGTGAGAAGCAGGCTCACTGGGGCAACATTCATTCATCTAATCTAATTGACTAAAATGTCAGGAAGTCAATCTACATGCTTCAGAATAAGGCTTTGCATTGGGATGGCCTTCCTCTGTCAGCTGTAGGTGTTTGAACAAGCTGACTTCACGAGGCTCGATTGCGTCACCTATTAATCTGACCTGAACTCAGCTACTACCGTAGAGCGGTTGTGAGGATGTTAGTGTGTGCGCGTTATTACTTTTCCTGTTGCTGTGTTACACACCTCACCGAAGAAACTAAAGTCTCCGGGCTTCAGGAAGGCTCTCTGGGGCAACGCCACCTGCAGCAGAGGAATGGGGGGGCGGGCACAGCAGCGTCCACATCCTGGAGGGTCAGGAAGCAAAGAGCTAGACCTGACCGGCTGTGTCTATCCACTATTGGCCATGCCCCAAAGGGTCCACAGCCCCACTAGCTGGGGAGTGGGGGCAGGGGGTATTTCACATTTACATCGTAACAGTAAGCAGGTGTGTTGACGAAGAGCAGAATAAACTGAAACTTTTGTACCCACTAATAGGACTAAAACTCAACACAACTATTTTTAAAAGTAGACATCATGTGTGTGTGTGTGTGTGTGTGTGTGTGTGTGTGTGTGTGTGTGTGTGTTGTGTGTGTGTGTGTGTGTGTGTGTGTGTGTGTGTGTGTGTGTGTGTGTGTTGTGTGCATGTTAAGGTCTTACCTACTCTTTCCACCTTTTGAGGCAGGGTCTATCTCTGAACCTGGAGCTCACTGGGTTTGATTAGGCTAACTAGTCAGTGTGCTTCAGGGATCTACCCTTGTCCACTCCCCACTGCCAGGCCTGGCTTTAATGTGGGTACTGAAGGTCTGCCCATGTCCGCTCCACCACTGCCAGGCCTGGCTTTAATGTGGGTACTGAAGGTCTGCCCATGTCCACTCCCCACTGCCAGGCCTGGCTTTAATGTGGGTACTGAAGGTCTGCCCATGTCCACTCCCCTGCTACAGGCAGGAACCAAATTCTGTTTCTTGATTTTGTTAAGGTGAAATCTGAGAAAATCCGTCAGCCTTTGCAAAGAGAACATCAGAACCATCAGGAGACTGGGCAGCAGACTAAAAAATACCTTGCCCAGGTAAATATCAGATCCCTTTACCTAAGGATGGTGGCTAACTCTACGGCAGCGCTTACCTAATTTCTGTCTGAATACATCAAGATATGTAGATTCATAATGTAAGGTTGATCAAATTGTACATTAAAATAACATCATAATTAGGGAAAGAGAAAAAGTCACATAATAGGTAGTCTTTATCAACTGGATCAGATTTTCAACAATGTGTGCTACATCCTCTAAAGGATCACAGAGGACTAGGGATGTAGCTCGGAGACAAGTGCTTGCCTAGAATATGCAAAAGATCCTGGGTTTAGTCCCCCATATTGAAAAGAATCCTCCGGGGCCAGGCATTGTGGCCTTTAATTCCAAACACTCAGGAGGAAGAGGCCTATGGGTCTCTATGAATTCCAAACCAACCAGGGCTACATAGTCAAGACCTGTCTCAAAATAAAATGGAGCAAAACTCGTGTGTGTGTGTGTGTGTGTGTGTGTGTGTGTGTGTGTGTGTGTGCGCGTGTGTTGGGGGCAGCAGGCCAGCACATAGAGAGATAGCTCTGTGGTTGTACTCTTCTTGCAAAGGACCGGGGTTCAGTTCCCAACACCCACATTGGGCGGCTCACAACCCCTTGTAACTCCAGCTCCAATAGAATACTGTGGCCTCTTCCAAGCCCTTGCATGCCTGTGCACACACCCACACACATACACATGATTACAATTTTAAAAGCAACTCTTTCTAAAAAGAGTGTACATACTTTGGAATTAACAAAACAAATAAAAACAAAGACTATTTAGTGCACCATTCACATTAGTGGTGTGTCAAATGATACATGTGTTTATGCTTGTTTTTGTGATCATGTAAACATAGTCTGTCAGCGTGTTGGTTTGGACCGTGTGAAATTGTTTTTTTACAAGTACAAAACCCTCAATTACCCGTAATTTTGTTTGGTTCAACCTAATCAAAGACATGCACACGAGTGGAAGTGCTGTTTGCTGCTTTCCTCTACTGTTCTTGAAGCGTGGACGGAGCCACGTGTCTTCAGAGAACGCTGACTGTTAGCTTATCACTAACGCAGTTTCGTTTCAGCGTCAGAATGAAGACGCAGAGCCTCAGAACTGCCTCTTGAGGGAAGTGGAATGCATAGCACAGAGGCTGGGGGCGTCCCTGGAGGAGATCCAGAGGAGAACCAAGGAGCCCCAAGAGAAGGAGAGAGAACAGAGAAAGTTAGGTGAGCCGTGGCTTCAGACGACCATTGTAGCCATGGATTACTGGGGTGATCTGGGGGCATGTTCCAAGGGGAAAAAAACTCAAAGGTGAACATGTAAAGACTTACTGCTACTGTGTCCCCAAGTCTTCAGGAAACACAGGCTTGGCAGGCCCACCCCAAAGGCACAACCCAGAACTGTGTGCCACTCGCCACTAGGAGTCCCAGCACCCAGAAGACCCATTTGTTCCTTCGCCCTAACTCTGGGTCCTCCTTCCTCACCAAAAATAACCACCACCCTACTTTGAACACTGTTTCTGAGTTCTGACCACATGCAATATCATTCATTTAAAATTTTATTTTATTTTTATGTTATGTGTATGGGTGGTTTGCCTATATGTATGTCTGTGTGCTGTGTGCATGCCTGGTGGCAGCAGAGGCCAGAAGAGGATATCAGATTTCCTGGAATCTGAGTTGTATACAGACAGTAGTGAGCTGCCATGTGGGTGTTAGAAATTGAACTTGGGTCCTCTGCAAGAGCAGCCAGAGCTCTTAACCACTGAACCATCTTTCCAACCACCCCGCCCCAGCATTGTTTTTAAAAAAACAAAATCTTTAGAATGGGTATGACGCTGCACACCTTTAATCCCAGCACTTGGGAGGCAGAGGCAGGTGGATTTGAGGCCAGCCTGGCCTACATAGTGAGTTCCAAGACAACCAGGGCTATGTAGAGAGATCTTGTCTCAAAAAATAAAAAAACTTTAAAATTACATTAAAATTTTATTTTGTGTATGCTTGCAAATGTAGGCGACATGCTAAGGCACACATATGGAAGTCAAAGAACAGCTTGAAGGAATTGGTTCTTTCCTTCTTCCGTGTGGGTCGCCACCACCATTGAACTCAAATTGTCAGGCTTGGGGCAGGGGCCTCTTTCCTCTTAGCCATCTTGTCTGCAATATCCATTCTTTCGGTTTGTTCTCTTGCTTAGTCTCAGACCCACTCACATTATTCCCTATAGTGACCTTTATAATATTCCACTGATGCTACACTGGTCCATTCTACTGATGGGCATTTGTGCTGTTTCTAGTTGGGGCTACCATGAGTTCTGATGCCATTAACATTCTTGCACTTATCTTGTGGGTAGTTACACATTTCTAATCTGGATAAGAATGCAGTTTCCGGATCAGAGACTGAGGGCACATTCTCCTTTGGTCTTCAAAATACAGTCATGTGCTAGGGGAAGGTCTTTTGCTCCACCCTTTGGCATTCCTATAAAAGGCCCTTTTGAGGAGACAGAAGGGGCTGGTAGATATTGATCCAGATCTACCTGAGGCTATCCTGTTTAGGCTATAAATATTTAGGCTTGCTTTTGTTTTTGCAAAATGGGAACTCTATTTATTAAATCCAGTTTAGGAGAGCACTTACCTACTTTCTGTCTCTTTTCTGGACATTTCATATAAATGGAATCATACATAAGTTTGCACATCTGTTTTCTTTCACTTAACACACTTTTGAGATTCAACCATGAAACAGGTATAACTGCTTCATTCCATTTTACTGCAATATAAGCTAACCCCTGCTGTTTTTCAGGGTTTTTTTTATAATAGTGATCATAATGTGCATAGAATTTTGATTTCTACTTTCCTATGACTAGTATAAAGTATATTTTATGTGTTTATAAGCTACATACATAATGAAACTGTCTATTCAATGCTTTTTGTAACTAGTTTTATTGGTTTTTTTTCAATTTTATTTTATTATTTTATGTGTATGGGTGTTTTGCATTCACATATTTCTATATATCATGTGCCCGTGGAGGCCAGAAGAGGGCATCAAATCCCCTAGAACTGACATTAACAGACAGTTATGAGCCACCATGTGAGTGCTGAGAATCAAACCCAAGTCCTCTAGAAGACAACCAGTTCTCTTAACCAATGAGCCATCCTCTCCAGCCCCCTATTATCTCTCTAGCCCCCTATTTATTTGTTTTTTGAGACCAGGTCTCATCATGCAACTCTGGATGGCCTGAAATTTGCTGTGTAAAGCAGGCTGTCCTTGAATTTAGGAATCTACCTGCCTCTGCCCCTTGAGTTCTGGGATCAAAGGCATGTGCCACCACCACACTCAGTCACCACACTCAGCCAGCCATTGCTGCTTTTTAACAGTGGGATTTCTTTTTTTTTTTTTTTTTTTTTTTTTTTTTTTTTTAAGTGCACGGGAGTGGGGAGGAGGTTGAGGATGGAGACAGGGTTTCTCTGTGTAGCCTGGGCTGTCCTGGAACTCACTCTGTAGTTCAGGATGGCCTCGAACTCAGAAATCTACCTACCTCTGCCTCCCAAAGTGCTGGGATTATAGACACGGGATTTCTGTGTTTTTTAACTGTGGAATTTCTAGTGTAAACTTTCTGGATATTAACTTCTTATGAGACAGGTGATTTTCAAATACTTCCTCCTCCGAATTGTGAGCAGTCTTTTCTTTTTTTTTTTTTTTTTTTTTTTTTTAGAGATTTATTTATTTATTTTGTATACAGTATTCTGCCTGCATGTGTCCCTGCAGGCCAGAAGAGGGAACCAGATCTCATTGCAAGTGGTTGTGAGCCACCATGTGGTTGCTGGGAATTGAACTCAGGACCTCTGGAAGAGCAGTAGGTGCTCTTAACCACTGAGCCATCTCTCCAGCCCCGTGAGCAGTCTTTTCTAGCAAACGTGGCCAGTCTACCTAAACCTACTACTCCATAAACCTCCCTCACCTTGTGAAACCATGCCTATTCATCCAACCCCCGAATGCCAGGCATTCCTGAGATTGACAGTCACACCCTCCACCTGCACCATTGTGAACAAGCCTATCAAATCAGATAGTGAGATTGTAGAGTGGAACACCCCCACCACCCTGCCTCAGGATGAACACTCAGGGCCCCCTGCCAGAGTGTGCTCACCCCTGTGGATCATTGTGCGGCCTTTTGCCTCGTTCACGTCTGTCTCTTTGTGTGACGCCAGGAATATTCTCCAGCACTTTTCACAGATCTTCACTCTGTTGACAGTGTCCTTGGATGGGCAAAAGGTTTTCATTTTATACAACTCAACTTACCTTTTTATTCTTTTGTTGCTACTAATCTTGGTAAAAGATTGAATAAATTATTGTCACACTCCTTCCCCCGCAAATAAAACACCCATATGCCTATGCATGGTTTCACAAGGTGAGGGAGGTTTATGGAATAGTACGTTTAGGTAGTTGGGCATGGTGGTGTATGCCTTTAATCCCAGCAATCAGGAGGTAGAGGCAGGAGTATCTCTGTGAGGTTGATGCCAGCCTGGTCTACAGAGCAAGTTCCAAGACAGCCAGAACTATATAATAGAGAGCCCCTGTCAAAATAAACAAACAAACAGAAACAAAATACAACAACAAAAGACCCACCATATCTAGAGTAATAACTGAAGAAATGGACTTAGAAAATACAACTGTGAATCCAGTAGAAAGGTCTGAAAGATGTAACAGCGCCTGCCTGGCATGGTGGTGCATGCTTGTACCAGCATTTGAGAGGCTGAGGCAGGAGTGTTGTAAATTCAAGGCCAGTGTTAACAGAGTGAATTCCACTCTGGGCTGTGTAGCAAAGCCTTCTCTCAAAAGAGAAAATTCCCAACCAATCCTAGGATTGGGACTCATTTAAGACTAATGAAAAGCCAGAGTTGTCAGATTATTCACAAACATGGCAGGAGAAGCAGCCTGACCAGCCAAGCTTAAGAAACTGGTTGTCTCCGTTAATTTTTAAATTGGGCAAACTATATTTGGCTGTGTCCTTCTAAAAGTAGATTTTATTTATTTATTTATTTATTTATTTATTTATTTATTTTTGAGACAGGGTTTCTCTGTAGCTTTTGGAGCCTGTCCTGGAACTCACTCTGTAGTCCAGGCTGGCCTCGAACTCACAAAGATCCCCCTGTCTCTGCCTCCCAAGTGCTGGGACTAAAGGCATGTGCCACCACACTCAGCTAGATTTTATTTTTGAGACAGGGTCTTACTATGTAGCCTTGGCTAGCATCAGGCTCACCATGTAGGCTAGGCTAGCTTCAAACTCAGAATCCTCCTGCCTCCACCTCCTGGTGCTAGGATTATAGGTATGTGTTACCACTGCATCCACAGCGCAGTTTTTAAAATGAAAGCCAACTGTTTTCTGAATATCTGGAGTACCTCAGAACTTCTTAACATTTTGGAAACCCCGATTCACTTCAAGTTGGGGGAGCAAGCAAGGCTTTTCTGTCGTTCTACAGCACACATGCCACACTTGCCCCGACCCTTTGCTCTGCCAACCCATGCGGCTCTGGATCCCTGTAGCTCCCGGAAGTCCCGTGTCTCTCCTGCTTTCTCTCCGTTACTCATGCTGCTCTCTTTCTCAAACATTCTTTCCACCTGCGGTTCCTCTGCTTGCCCTTCTTCCACCAAGGAGTTCCGTGGAAAACTTGTTTTAGTGACACAGAAACCATCCCACCTCTGGGGCAGAGAAAACAGCCCTGGGTGTGCAGCCCCGCCGTGCTATTTATCTCCCTCGGCACTGAGCAGATTGCTCTACTTTTCTGTTGCTTGTCTCACTTGCTTACTGGAGGTGGGTCAGCTACTCTGTCCAACAGTGGTTCCATAAAATTAAATCACCAAATAACACTGTAGCCACCTTACTATCAAGTATACCTTATGATGTTTATACACTGATAAAATTACCTCGCAACAGTTTCTCAGAACACACTCCCCCATCCTTAAGTGAGGCACGACTGTTTTGTGCATGCTTTAAACATTCAGCTACCCTTGTAACCTCAGTGATCCAAGCCCTTCAGCAGGTAATCTTATAAGAGAATGGTAAGAGCCCGGAGTGATGGCACATGCCTTTAATTCCAGCACCTGGGAAGCAGAGGCAGGTGGATCTCTGAGTTAGAGTGCAGCCTGGTCTACAAAGCAAATTCCAGGACAGCTAGGACTGTTACACAGAAAAACCCTGTCTTGAAATACCTAAATAAATAAGTAATATAAATAAATAAGAAGAGAGAATAATTAGGAAACGTTTGAGATCAGAGGTCAATGGAATAAATATGGGATTCAGTAGGAACACTAGAAGGGCACCCAGGAAAGCTTCCAGATAGGTTACATTTCTGTACAGACTCAAAGGATGATGTTCAAAGAGAAAAAAAGGTATGAAATTTTATTGTTATATGAGTCATTTACTTCTTTGGGTTTTTTTGTTGTTGTTTTGATACGGGGTCTTTATATGTAGCTAATAGAGATCTGCCTGATGCTGGGATTAGATGGGTGTACCACAATGCCTAGCTGATTTGCTTTGGGGGGAATGTCTTAGTTAGGGTTTCTGTTGCTATGAAGGGACACCATGACCATGGCAATTCTTAGAAAACATTTAATTAGGGCTGGCTTACAATTCAGAGGTTTAGTCCGTTATCTGTCATGAGGGGAAGCATCACAGCATATAGGCAGACGTGGTGCTGGAGAAGGAGCTGAGAGTTCTACATCTTGATCTGCAGGCAACAGAAGGAGACTGCCACACTAGGCCTAGCCTGAGGATATGAGAGTTTAAAGCCGGCCTCCACAGTGACACACTTCCTCCAACAAGGCCACACCTACTCCAACAAGGCCACCCCCACTCCAACAAGGCCACACCTACTCCAACAAGGCCACCCCCACTCCAACAAGGCCACACCTCCTAATAGTGCCACTCCCTATGGGCCAAGCACTCAAACACATGAGTCTATCGGAGGCCATTCCTATTCAAACCACCACAGGGGGTATTTATGTTTATGTGTATGAATGCTTGCCTGATGTCTGTCTGTGCACCCCAAATGTGCTCTGCCTGAGGAGGCCAGAAGAGAGAGTCTGATCCCCTGGGTCTGAACTTACAGACAGTTGCCATGTGGGCTGTAGGACTTGAACCTGAGTCCTCTGGAGGAATGACCAGTGTTCTTAACTGCTGAGCCATCTCTCCGGCTGCTCATTTACTTTTTTGTACATTTGTTTTCTTTTTGTTTTATTTTAGATGATGCACTTGAGAATGCTCGACTGGAAACTGAAAAATTGAAAAATATTCTAGTAAAACTGAAAGAAAGTGGTGAGTCGTTAGCATATGTAGTGACAATAGATCACACAATGACACAATATGTGTAGTGTAAGATATTATTTAGGAGCCGAAGAGGTGGGAGGCTCCATGGTTAACACTTAAGGCTCTTGCGGAGGACCTGAGTTTGGTTGTAGCACCCATGTTGGGCAACTCACCACCACCTGTAACTCCAGCTCCAGGGGATTTGGCACCCTCGCCTGGCTTATGTGGACACTCGCACACATGTACACAGACACACAGGCACTCACACAGAAATAAAATAACAAGTCTTTAAAATGTTTTTACTGATGAAAATCACAAGTACCACTCACGCAGCCATGGCTGCTCCTGCTGGTGCAGCTGCCGACACGAGCTGCCGACGTCACTCGTTGCTGACGTCACTCGCTGCCGACGTCACTCGCTGCCGACCCGTCACTCGCTGCCGACGTCACACTCACTCGCTGCCTACGGAGCAGCAGCTGCTCTGCCAGGAGCTTTCCGAGATTACCTTTAATCCTCCTAACAAGTCAGGTACTGAATAGGATTATCCCCATCTCGTAGATCAGGATGCTGAGCCGCGGCAAGGTTAACTGAGTTATTCATTAACTACAAAACTATCACAGCTGATGTGTGAATCCTTATATGTCCGATTCCAAAACCTGTCACCAGGACAAAGAACTCGGACTGTACGGAGACCACTGAAGCCAAGGGCCCTTGCAGTCCACACAGCAATACCTCACTCCTTTGTCCACCGGAAAGCCAAGAGGCTTGGAATGGTGTTGAATGACTTAATCTGACACTGCTACCAGCTATTGCAAAATTTGGATATTTCAATGGTCACAACAGAAATGATTTACGGAATGTTTTTATCCATTTTAAATAATTCCAAAATTAGTTATTTCTTCCTTTCAAAATATAGGAATATGATTGTGAACTCAAAAGTGCTTATGGCAACTCATAGGTCAGGTAACTCATAAAACCAGTAAGGCTGCAGAAGATTTAGAGGTGCTACAGCCAGAAGTCCTGGGTGGTACTTACAGAAAACACTAGAAAGCACATACTTTTCATACACCCATGAAATGTTTGCCAAGAGAGGATCAGACAAGTCACCTCTCCAATCACATGGGATTAAACTAGAAATCCGGGACAGGAGTATACTGGAAAAAGTTCCCAAATATTTAAAAAGTAAAGAGGATGCTTCCAAAGAGCCTCTAGTGTTGGAGACAAAGTCACAAGAGATACTAGAAAATACTTTGAATTGACGAAAATGGAAAGATGACATTATCAGTGTTTGTGCAATACTGCCAAATCAGTGGCTTGAGGGCCAAATCAGTGGTTTGAGGGCCAAATCAGTGGCTTGAGGGCCAAATCAGTGGTTTGAGGGCTAAATCAGTGGCTTGAGGGAATCTCATGGTACTTAATGTTTACACCAGAGATCATGTAAGGCACAAGGCAATCTAAAATTTCAGAATAAGAAGAGTGAATGAAATCTGAACCAAGCAGAAGGGAGAAGCTATTAAAATAGAGCTGAGGACCAGATAAGGGCGGTGGCACATACCCTTCATCCCAGCACTCAGGAGGCAGAGTCAGGTGGGTCTTTGTGAGTTCAAGGCCAGTCTGGTCTAATTATGTAGCTCTGGCTGGGCAAGTTCCAGCCCAGCCAGAGCTACATAATTAGACCCTGTCTCAAGAGAGAGAGAGAGAGAGAGAGAGAGAGAGAGAGAGAGAGAGAGAGAGAGAGAGAGAGAGAGAGAGAGAGAGAGAGAGAGTTAAGGACCAAGGAGATGGCTCAGCAGGTAAAGTGCTTGCCACAGAAGTCCCCGAACCCAACTAACAATTAAAAAGATGCAGTGGTGCACATCTGTAATCTTGTGGAAAGCTTGTGGAGCAGTGCACAGTACTGTAGCAGAGACAAGAAGAGAGCCTGCTCAGAACAAGGTGGAAGGAGAGAACTGACTGCTAAAAAGCTGCCCCTCCCCTGCACTCCTGCAGTGACACAGGCAGGCACATGCCTGTACACACACTCACACACAATATTAAATAAAACAACATTCAGGAGGCAGAGGCAGGAGAACTGATGCAAGTTTCAGGCCAGCCTGGTCTATGCTGTGACTTCCAAGACAGCCAGGGCTACCTAATAAGACCATGTCAGAGGAAGAGGAGGGGGAAGGGAGGATGGAGGAAGAGGGAGGGATCCTAAATGCATTAAACTGAATCGTTAGAAATCTTCTATAAAGAGAGTTCCACAGTCGGGCAGCTTCACAAATGAATCTAACACATATGTTAGGAATAAGTAATACTGGTTTTATAACTTCCAAAAGGTCAAAGAAGAGAGAAGAATTCCCAAACTTTAAGTGACCAGCATTACTATACACCAAAACCAGGTGCTATCAAACATCCCAGATTAACGCAGAAATACTTGGAAAGGGCAGAGAGTGGGAAGCAGCTTGTCAGGTGGTCAAATTGAATGCACTCACCAAGAATGGACTGGTTAGTGACTATTTAGTGAACGCCTCAATGCTGTTAATAAGACTGCTAAGTGGAGGACCCAGGATACCCGACACCCTCACACAGACATATATGCAGGCAAAACACCAATGCATGGGCTGGAGAGATGGCTCAGAGGTTAAGAGCACTGACTGCTCTTCCAGAGGTTGGAAGTTCAATTCCCAGCAACCACATGGTGGCTCACAACCATTTGTAATGAGATCTGGTGTCCTCTTCTGGACTGCAGACATGCATGTAGGCAGGACACTGTATACATAATAAATAAATAGATCTTTAAAAAAACCCACCAATGCACATAAAATATAAATAAATAAATAAAACAGCAAGTGTCATGAAAAAAAAAGAATATGTCAGGGCTTTAAAAAAAATTTACACCCAGCTAAAATTTCAGCTCCAGAGCCATTGAGATGGCTCAGTGGGTTAAAGGCCATCACACCTGATGACCTGAGTTCAGTTCCCAGGACCCATACGGTTAAAGGAGAGACCCGATGCCAAGTTATCCTCTGACATGCATGCACCACACTCAAACACACAGAAAATAAAGAAATGGTTCGTGTTCCCAGAACCCCGTATTTCCGGAAACTCTACACTCAAAAAGTCTTGAGTGAGAAATACAAAGCCTTCTGTTCCGTTACAGTAGCTGGGAGGGTATGGCGGTGTTGGTGGCTCTCCTGTGCAGACGACAGCCACATACGCAGACAACCACATACGTGGAATGCAGTAGCCTGGCACTCATGAGTGTTTAGAGCGAGTGCCTCCCAAAGGAAAACTGTGACCCAAGTAGTAACCGCCTTCTTCTCTGTTTAGATGCAACTGACTTACAGAAAGCAAGAGAACATAACCAGAGGCTAGACGAGGAAATTCTGGCTTTGAGAAACCGGGTGCGATCGCTTGACTCTGAGAAAAAGGTGCTTGGAGAAATGGTAAGTGTGCTTTAGTTCCTGGAGTTTACTTAATGTGTCTCCAATAGCAACCAGCGGTGTGAGCGTGCTCTAAGTTGGTCCTTTCGGAGAACTTGTTCTAACAATTGTTGGGCGTCAAGGTACAGAGGTGGTGTGTTCTCACCCAGTGTGCTTTAACCCGTCAGTGCTTAGGTTTCATTTTTTTTTTTAAGATTTATTTGTTTATTATATATACAGAAGAGGGCGCCAGATCTCATTACAGATGGTTGAGAGCCACCATGTGGTTGCTGGGAATTGAACTCAGGACCTCTGGAAGAACAGTCAGTGCTCTTAACCTCTGAGCCATCTCTCCAGCCCTTAGATTTCATTTTAAGTCCTTGTTCTGAACAGTAGCATCACTGCTGCTGTATAAATGTCAGGTTTGTTTACTTGTTTTGTTGTTTTTATATGTATGGATGTTTTGCCCATATGTATGTATGGCTGTGGATCGTATACATGTAGTACCCAAGGAGGCCAGAAGGGGCGTCAGATCCACTGCATAAAGATCATTATACACTGTCATGTGGGTGCTCGGAACTGAATGCAGGTCCCTCTGGCAGAGCAGCAAGTGCTCTTAACTTCTGAGCTATCTCACCAGTTAACACAGTCACCAAATAAAAACATTACTTTTATTTTGTAAAAATTTGTGATTATTAATATGGCATTCACAGTTGTATTTTTTTTTAACCATTTCTTCTTGGCAGTCTATTAGTTTGCTTTTTTTGTTTGTTTGTTTGTTTTGTTTTGTTTGAGCTGAGGACCGAACCCAGGGCCTTGTGCTTGTTAGGCAAGTGCTCTACCACTGAGCTAAATCCCCAACCCCTGATTTTTAATATATACTTTCATATGTAGTATCTCCAGCTTCAGATTGTATTAATTTCATAACCATATTTATAGTATTGAAAATAGTGCAAAGTACTCAAGAAACTTTGTTTTAAAAGTTAAAAAAAACCTGCATTTGGACTTTCCTTTGGGCCACCAGCTCACTGATAATGACATGGAGACTTTTAATTATGAAAGCTTGGCCTTAGCTTAGGCTTTTCCTCAACCAGCTTGAGTTCCTCTCTTTGCCTGGAAGTCCCACCTATTCTCTCCTGCCTAGCCATTGACCATTCAGCTCTTTATTGAACCAATCACAGTGACACATCTTCACAAGGCACAAACAAATATTCCACAACAAATACCCATTGGGATAATTGTTATTAAGACAACAAGGAATGACATGCCGTTGAGACCAGAAGGATTAGAACACTGTGCATTGCTGCTTGTGCTGACTGGTGGTATGTCAACCTAGAGTCATTTTGGAACATGGAACCTCAATTTAGAAAATGCCCTCACCCAGTTGACCTATGGGCAAGCCTGTGGTACATTTCCTTGATTGATAATTGATGTGGGAGGGCCCAGTTCACTGTGGGCAGTGCCAATCCTGGACTGGTAGTTCTGGGTGCTATAAGAAAGCAGGCTGAACAAGCCATGGGAGGCAAGCCAGTAAGCAGCACCCCTCCACGGCCTCTGCATCAGCTCCTGCCTCCAAGTTCCTGCCTTGAGTTCTTACTCTGACTTCACTCAATGTTACCTGGAAGTTTAGGCAAAATAAACTCTTTCCTCCCTAAGTTACTTTTGGTCATAGCATTTTATTATATCAATAGGAACCCTAAGACACCATGCTTGTGGTGATGTACCTCCAACAGCAGTGTGATAGCCACTGTTGGAGACAGTATGGAAATCCTGAGAGCACTAACCATAGCATTAATGTGCTCTGGTAATGGTGCTTCCAGGTGTACATTAAAAGCAAGGACTCAGATATGTATTTCTACCTTCACGTTCATAGCAGCATTATTTACAACATCCCAAGGATAGAAATAACCTGTGTCAGTTGACAAATTTGAAAGGAAATGTGGGACATTATCACACACAATGAAATTAAAAGGAACTGAACTAGGTCCTTTGCAAGAGCAGCAAGTGCTCTTTTGTTTGTTTCTTTTTTTCCAAGATAGGGTTTCTCTGTGTATCCTTGGCTGTCCTGGAACTTGCTGGCCTTGAACTTGGTGATCAGCCTGCCTCTGCCTCCTGAGGGCAGGGATTAAAAGTGTGCGCCACCAATGCTCAGCACAAGTGCTCCTAACCATCGAGCTAGCCCCCATTTTCTTTTTTTAAAGATTTAATTAATTAATTATTTATTTGTGTCTCTGTATGTATGCACACACTTGTCTGCCAGAGATGTACATGCCTCTGCAAGCATGGAGGCCAGGTGTCTTAAGTATCACCCCTGCCTATTCCTTTGAAGCAGGGTCTCTCCCTGAACATAGATATTCTTTTGAGGCAGGCTCTCTCCCTGAACGTAGCACTCCTGTTTTCTCCGCCAGGCTGAAAGCCAGCAAGCCCCAGTGATGCTTCTGCCCCTGTTCCCCCGGGAGCTGGGATTACAGGCGTGTGTGGAACTTCTGACTTGTTACACAGGTGCTGGGATCCGCACTCCAGTCCGGGTGATTGTGTAGCCATCTTTCCAGCCTCACCTCTGTTTTCTCACCAGGGTTTTATGAAGAGTAGAAGTTTAAACAATTAGATAAAGGTCGACTCATAAGAGTTTTACAATTTTGTGATGGGATCCAGCATGTCTACATTATTTTTGTCTGCTCAGTGGTCACAAAGTGATTCTTTTTTTTTTTTTTAATTTAATGCCAAATGCTATGTATTGAAGGAGGGAAAAGGTCTTAAATACAGGCTTACAACACAAGGGGAGAACCCCAGAGGGCAGAAGTTCGATACTGATGTTTTACAATCTTGCATCTAAGCTGTTAACGCCCATTATGCAGGATACACAGACAAGGAACTTCCCTTAAGCATTTAGGAGAGTGGAACCCGGCAGGGAATTAGCATAGGGAGGATATCAAGGTCAAGGTCAGCAAGCAAGGCAACAGTTACCCAAAACGGGGGCCAGGGCCCTACAGGTCCCCCACAAAGTGATTCTTATCCTTTCTAATAAATGTCTTATAGTTCTAGCATACACATTTAGGTTTATGATCTATTAAAGATAATTTTTTGTTTATGCAGTGATGAAAGGGTTAAGGCTTGTTCATTTCCTAAAGTGCATCTAGTTTTCCCAGAAGCAGTTGTTGAAAATAACTATTTCTTTCTTGAATTACATTGTCACTTTTGTCAAAAATCAATTGTAAGGGTTGGAGAGATGACTCAGTGGTTAAGAACACTGGCTGCTCTTCCAGAGACCCCAGGATCAATCCCCAACATCCACATGGCCGCTCACAACCTGCTGTAACTCCAGTCCCAGGGATTCTGATGCCCTCTTCTGACTTCTTCAGGCACTGCAGGCGTGTGGTGCACAGACGTGCATGCAAGCAGAACACATAAAATTAAAAAGTTTTTTTAAAAAAAAACCCACAGGCAGTGATGGCACATGCCTTTAATCCCAGCACCCCAGAGGCAGAGACAGGTGGATCTCCAAGTTTGAGGCCAGGCTGGTCTACAGGGTGAGTTACAGAACAGCCAGAACTACAAAGAGAAGCCCTGTCTCCAAAAACAAAAACAAAACAAACAAACAAACGAAGAGTCAGTTGTTTGGGTCTTCGACTGGACTCTGTCCCACTCATCCAAGTGTCTGTTTTTTTTTTTTTTTTTTTTTTTGGTTTTTCGAGACAGGGTTTCTCTGTGTAGCTTTGCGCCTTTCCTGGAACTCACTTGGTAGCCCAGGCTGGCCTTGAACTCACAGAGATCCGCCTGGCTCTGCCTCCCGAGTGCTGGGATTAAAGGCGTGCGCCACCACCGCCCGGCTCCAAGTGTCTGTTTTTAAAACAGTTACATGCTGTGGCTTTGTTATAAGTCTTAAACTAGAAAGTACCACAGCTCCAACTTTGGGCTTTTTTTCTAAGTTGTATGGGTTAATACAGTTCTTCACCATTTCCACGTTCAGTTTTGACATAAACACCTGTGAGGGGTTTGATGGCATGGCATGCACTGTTCACATAAGCTTGAGGAAACCTTACCTTTTAACAATATTGAATCCTCGAAACTATGGAGGTGTCGTCTCCTGATGTCAGTCTTCTCTGCCATGTTTTGCGTCTTGCAATGCACAAATCTTACACATACTTAATCTTAAAAAATATTTTAAAAGGAAACAAGAAACAGAAGGACAATCATAAAATATTAATTTCATAATAGAACAAATATAAACATTTAGGCAAATAAAACCTGCACTGCTTGGGTTTTGTCAATTTCACACAAGAAGCTGGAGTCACCTGGGAAGAGGGACCCTCAGCTGAAGAATTTCCTCCACCAGATTGGCCTGAGGGCAAGTCAGTTGGGGGCATTTCCTTAATTAATGATTGATGTGAGAGGACCATGCCCACTGTGGGCAGTGCTACCCCCATAGGTGATTGTGGATATATGAGAAAACAGGCTGAGCTAGCCAGGCACAGCTAGCCAGTAAGCAGTGTTCCTCTGTGGCCGCAGTTCCAGGTTCATGCTTGAGTTCCTGCCTTGGTTTCCTTCCGTGACAGACTAGAACCTGTAAGCTAAATGAATCCTTCCTTCCCTTGATATCTTTGCTCAGTGTTTGGTCACAGCCACAGGAAGCAGAGTGGGAAGCTTCTGCCTGGGAGAATGTGAGTCTTTATTCCTGTGGGCTGACAGTTTCCACAAAGCATGTGAGAGCTGTAGCTATTGTCTCCGATAAAATCTGTGTTTTCCCGCTCTGTGGCTCTGGCTGCATCGCTGCTGGGTCCCCTGGTGATGCGTCAAAGGCCCTGTTCATTTTTACCTGTTTCAGTGTGGCTGTTTCTATTGTTCTGTCTTCAGGTTGATTTTATTTTTTCTATATAGTTCATGGTATTTTCAATCTCATCCAATGCATTACTCATTTCAGATGGACTTTTTCTTCTCTAACAATTCCATTTAAAAAAAATTCCCTTCATTTCAACTCATTGTGTTTAAGAAAAAGGAACTCCTTGGCTGAGTCCTGCTTCTCTCATGTACTTTCTTGTCCTTGCTTTTGTTGCTTGAGAAAGTCCTACATGCAGCCATTTTGGCCGAATCCACACCCACACCCTCCCTTCAGTTCCTCCTGCTTCGTCTCCCAAGTGCTGAGATTACAAGTGTGCCCCACCACACTCAGCTAACACGTGTGTTCGTACTAAAAACCTCTTACAAACTGCTCAGCACACTGTGAGGTTTTTTAAGACTTTTGTTGTTGTTGTTGTTTGTTTTTGTTTTTTGAGACAGGGATTCTCTGTGTAGTCCTGGCTATCCTGGAACTCACTCTGTAGACCAGGCTGGCCTCAAACTCAGAGATCTACCTGCCTCTGCCTCACAAGTGCTAGGATTAAAGTTGTGTGCCACCACTGCCTGGCTTTAAAGACTTATTTTTAATTATGTGTGTCTGCGTGTAGTATGCTCACATGAGTACAGGTACCCACAGAGACCAGAAGTGTTGGATCACCTGAAGCTGGAGTTCAGGCAGTTGTGAGCCACATGTGAGTGCCGGCCAAAGCAGAACACAGTCTCTTATGAAATCTGTCCTTCCATTACATTTTCCTCAGATGTTGTAGGAAAAATAAGAATTTTATCCAGATTTGCCCTTTCTTTTTTTTTCTTTTTTTTTTTTTTTTTGTTTGTTTTTTCAAGACAGGGTTTCTCTGTGTAGCTTTGCGCCTTTCCTGGTACTCGCTTTGGAGACCAGGCTGGCCTCGAACTCACAGAGATCCACCTGCCTCTGCCTCCCGAGTGCTGGGATTAAAGGCGTGCGCCACCACCGCCCAGCCCAGATTTGCCCTTTCTTATGATGTCTGGGAAGGATAATTTTTTTTTTTTTTTTTTGCTGGGGTGGGGTGTGGGGGGGACTTTGATCAAGACAGGATTTCTCTGTGTAGCCTATCTGTCCTGGAGCTCACTATGTAGACCAGGCTGGCCTTGAACTCATAGAGATCCATCTGCCTCTGCCTCCCAAGTGCTGGGATTAAAGGCATGTGCTACTACCGATGGGTGGATAATAATATTTTGTATCTGATCTTTCTGCCCCATTTTCTCTGTTCTTCCGTGTGAAGGTGAAGTGGAGAATAAATCCATCAGGCCGTGGAAGAAGAGTGGTCACTCTAGTTTGCTCCCCAAGCCAAAAGGGTTTTTCTCAAGGCTTCTCTGGTGGTGACGGCTGAAGTGCTTTCACTTCATTTCTTTTTAGATGTATACATTTTTATGAGTATGTTTGTCTTGCCTACACATATGTATGTGCACCCCATGAGTGTCTGGTGCCCACAGAAGTCAGAAGAGAGCGTTGGATCCCCTGGAACTGGAGTTCTTGATGGTTGTGAGCCACCATGCAGATAGCTGGGAACTGGACCCACATCCTCTGGAAGAGCAACATATGCTTTTAACTGTGAGCCACCTCTGTAACACAAAAATGATTTCATTTCTGATACAGTCATTTTCTTTTGTCTATGGTGGTGACCGTGATGGCAGCATCCGTTCCATCATCCATAGGAGGCAGGCTAATCTAGGAGGCAGGTCCCAAGATGAACTTCAAATCCCAGGAGTTTTGAGGAAGCACAGGTGACCATCTATGAAGAGCAGGTACAGGTGGGTAGAGCCTTCAGATCTGGTGCAGGTGCAACATCCCTTCTAGTGGATGACAGAGCAGGGTGGGGCTCAGACTCTGTGGTAACTGAGGCAGCCTCAGCTAGCCAAGAGTTCTGCCGCAGTCATAACCTGTGGGGGAACCCCAGGGATAGGGAGGCCTCATCTTGCTCAGGTATCCCCTGAAGTGGCCCTCTGTATCATAGAATTCTTGGTCTGGGAGAAGACCCTTAGCTACACCTGCCTAATTTGCCTTCCTCTGTGCCCAGCATCACGTGACCTTCTTTATCTCTCTTACTGTAAAAGATGCTCAGAAGCCATCTCAGTCTCCTCAGTACTCAGCATTAAGCCTCACGAGTTTGGTTTGAGTAGATCTGTGTGTCAGTCATCTTCTAGACTATGGTGTAAACCAGATTTCCATTCCCTATTGAAACTTGAAATAGATATGCACTTAAAAAATCGCCGGGCGGTGGTGGCGCACGCCTTTAATCCCAGCACTCGGGAGGCAGAGCCAGGCGGATCTCTGTGAGTTCGAGGCCAGCCTGGTCTCCAAAGCGAGTTCCAGGAAAGGCGCAAAGCTACACAGAGAAACCCTGTCTCGAAAAACCAAAAAAAAAAAAAAAAAAAAAATGACAAGGTACACTTCACCCACATGCTGGAGCACACTTATAAAGATCATTGCAAATAAACATTCTTCTTCAATCAGTTAATAGATATAGCCTATAATTACATAGATTACTAACTATATAGATAATAGTATATGATATGTGGAGAGGGGGAGGCAGAGGGTCTCTCTAGCCCAGGCTGACCTGGAGCTTACTAGGTAGGCCAGGCTAGCCTTGAATTTAGCCTCCTGCCTCTGCTCCCTGAGTGCTGGGATTATTGGTGTCTGTCACATTGGGAGACCCATCAAACATTATCAGTGAACAGTGATCTGTGTGAATTAAAAGACTTTTTAAGGCAGTTCCTGAAGGAGGGTGGTAACTGAAAATGGATTTTTTTTTTCCTCCAAAGTTCCTTCACAAAGAAAAGGCCGCAACTGCCTTAACTAAGGTTGGCGCCAGGTGATGGGTTCCCAATAGCTATTAACCCCAGGATCACTAAGCTGAGGAACTGAGAGAGCTGAGTGCTGCGGCCAGCAGGTCAGCACGGTTGTTTCCCACGGGCCTGTTTTCTCCACCTTGGCCTGGCGCCCTCCATCACTGTCATGGATGCTCAGCCTGCAGGTGGGCAGTCTCTCCTGACCACTGCTTACTGTATTTTATGACAAAAGGAAATGGAAGGATAGTGCCAGGTTCATTTTATGTCAGCCTGAATGGACTTCAGATATCCCTCCTGTGTCTGAGAACCTTCACAAAATAGGTTAACATTTGAATCTGCAGACTGAGGGAAGCATGCCAACCATGTGTGGGTAGGCCTCATCCAATCAACTAAGGGAGTGAATGGAAAAAAAAAAAAAAAGAAGGGAGACTCTGTCTCCGTCTGTCTGTCTGTGTAAAGTCTGTTGGTTGTATTTCTCTGGGAAGCCCTTCTTAATACATGTGGAAGCTAATATTTGGGAATCTACAGTGTTGTAGTGAGTACTGGTGATTTGCCATAAATCATGGATTTTTTTGTTTTGTTTTGTCCTATTATATTGCTGTTTGAGACAAGATCTCTCTCTGTAGCCCAAGCTGGCCCCCGATTTGCTACCCTTCTGCCCCAGTCTCCCAAAAGCTGGGATTGTAGCTGTGAGCTACCATGCTCAGTTGACAGAATTCACAAAATGCTAACAGAAATCCCAGGAGGCAGCAATTGTTCACCTGGCTGAGGGAACCAAGGCCACAAATTCATAATTGTAAAAACCGTGGTGTCCGCCAGGTGGTGGTGGCGCAGGCCTTTAATCCCAGCACTTGGAAGGCAGAGGCAGGCAGATTTCTGTGAGTTTGAGGCCAGCCTGGTCTACAGAGCAAGTTCCAGGACAGCTAGGGCTGTTCCACAGAGAAACCCTGTCTCAAAAACCAAACAAACAAAAAAACCATGGTGTCACAGCTCCGCCTGACCTCAGAGCCCAGAGTTTTGCCCCTGAATCTCTCAAGCCCAGTCACTGTGGTCCTTAGCACTAGCAAAGCTCCTGCTCCTGTTCCCGCGCCACACCTGTCACCAAGCCTTCACATCTGGGTGCCCTGCAGCAGGTTTTCCTTGGAGAATTTTCTTGAAGATAAAAATGTGCAGGTCATTCTTTGCTTTTTAAAGGAAAGTTACTTCCTTTTCTTAGACACCTAAAAACATGATAGCGTTTCTAAATGCCATTAGGTTCATCAATAAGTAGATGACTGTCCCTGTCTGTCTGCATGAAGACACACTTGGTGGAAGGAGAGAACCAATTCCCACAAGCTCCCCTCTGACCTCCACAGATGGTGGCATGCACAAACTCTACCCGTAGACACAAAGTAGAAACATGGAATGGTTTTTGTCAAGGAGAAATTCAAGCTATTTGTCAAGGATAACAGTGGACACGGTGCTTTAAATGTTTATTGAGCCACAA